GTAGATTAGTGCATAATATAGTGAGAGGAGAGCAGAGTTAGGAACATAATATCTGATTTTGGAGAGTATACCAACTGTCTTAGAGACTTTCTTAGTTATGTGTTGAATGTGGGTGCTGAAGTTGAGTCTCTTGTCTAGGAATAGGCCAAGAAACTTGCCATCATTTTTATTACTGATGTTAATGTTGTCTATCTGTAGCTGAATTGCATTTGATGATTTGCTTCCAAATAAGATGTAGTAAGTCTTTTCGATGTTTAATGTTAGTTTGTTCGTTGACATCCATAAGTGGACTTTTTTTCATTCATTATTCACAACATTATTTAGTGTATGTGGGTTGAGGTTTGAGTAGATAAGGGTAGTATCGTCAGCAAACAATATAGGTTTGAGAATATTAGAGACATTAGGCAGATCGTTTATATATATAAGAAATAGAAGAGGTCCTAAGATGCTGCCCTGTGGCACTCCAACGGTAATTGGTAGAGTGGAAGAAGTTGTATCATTGATGGTTACATATTGGTGTCTGTCACTAAGATAGGATCGGATGTAGTCAAGGGCAAGGCCTCGGATTCCATAATGCTGGAGTTTAAGTAAGAGGTAGTTGTGATTAACAGTATCAAAGGCTTTTCTTAGGTCAATGAAGAGTCCAATCGGAAACTCATTTTTGTCAAGGGCTGAGTAGATAATGTCAAGGAGACTAATCATTGCATCATTGGTGCTCTTTTGGGACCGGAAGCCAAACTGGCAGGGGCTGAGTATGTCGAATTTTACGAGGTAGGAATAGAGCTGTTTGTAAATAATTTTTTCAAATATTTTTGATAAAATGGGTAGATTTGATATTGGTCTATAATTGTTTGTCCGCCGGATTGCCTCCTTTATGGACTGGCGTTACTCTTGCTTTTTTGAGGATATCAGGGAAGGTGTGACACTCTATAGATTTGTTGAACAGTAGTGCTATGAGTGGGGCAAGGGCATGGGAGGCTCTCTTGTACACAATGGACGGAATTTCACTGGTGTTCCCTGCCTTCCCGCCAAACACACACCGAAACTGCGACGTTGGTACAACGTTGGAACAAGTTTTAACACCTCCTAACCAGTTATAACAACCAATATAGCCAGTTGTAACAACGTTCTAATGCGTCATAAACACGTTAAGCCAAGATGTAACAACTTTATTACAAGTTGTAACAAGCGGAAAATAGAGACAGTTTCGGTTTGTGTTTCCAGGGTTGGTTTTTAGAGAATGTATGATGGACACAACATCTGCCGGGCTGATTGGTGAAAGGAGAAGAGAGTTTGGATAGCTGCCTGAGAGATATGTGTTAATATGTGTCTGAGTCTGTGGGATTTTACTGGCAAGATTAGCACCAACCGATGAAAAGAAACTATTAAATTCATTTGCCATTTCTAAATCAGTTGACGGTATATCCCCATCCTTGTAGAGTTTTATTTGGTTATGTGAGTGTTGTTTAGTTCCTAGGATACTAGAGATAGTTTTCCAAGTGCTTTTCATGTTGCCTTTTGCTTCATTGAATCTATTCACATAATATGCAAGTTTTGCCTTTCTTGTGATACTGGTAAGCATTGATGAGTACCTTTTAGCTACTTCCCTTGAAACTAGGCCAATCCTAACTTTCTTTTCATATTCATGTTTCTTGTTGATTGAGTTGAGAATGCCACTTGTGAGCCATGGATTGTTTAATCTTTTGTCAGTTACTTGCTTGGTAAGAAGGGGACAATGAAGGTTGTAGAGGCTTAGAGTTTTGGAGATGAAGAGGTTAGCTAATGAATTTATATCATGGGTATTATTGAATTCAGAATCCCAGTTAATATTGTAAAGTGCCTCTGTAAGATTGTCTAAAGCTGATTCACTGTGTAGCCTAAATGAAAGTTTCTTGCTTTTTGGTGGTGTTATGTCCATGTTCGCTATGAGAAAGGTAGGATAGTGGTCAGTTGTTCTGTCGTAGATTATACCAGATACAAGGGGAGCTGTTATGTTTGTCCATATGTGGTCCAAGGTAGTGGCTGATGTTTGAGTGACTCGGGTAGGTTTGGTGATTGTGGGGATTAGCATACAGGAGTTCATGCTGTTAAGGAAATAGTCAACTTGAGAGCAATTTTGTTGACCCAGGTCAATATTAAAGTCTCCTCCCAGAATGATGTGGTTTTTGTTGAGATTGTTGTTTATAATAAGATTCCTTTGGTTGTCTGAGAAAGAAGCTATGTTAGTATTGGGAAATCTATAGATGGCTCCAATAGTCAAAGAGGATTTAATTGTAAACTGAGCAAAAGTATATTCACAGTAGTCATCTCTGTCACTAATAACACTGTTGCAGATAAATGTATCTCGGTAATATATAGCTGTGCCACCACCTTTTTTATTAGGCCTACAGTTATGAATGGCTTTATAACCAGCTAAGTTGTAGAGTTGGGTATAGTCTTTATTTAGCCAAGTTTCTGTTAAAATAATGAACGATAGGTTAGTACCTAGTGCTGTGAGTAATGCACTTAAATCGTCAAAATGTTTACCAAGTGATCTAACATTTTGGTTATAAACTGATAGACAGGTGCTATTTTGGAGTTTGTTTTTAGCCTGGTGTGCTGTGAAATACTTGCAATAATGATGATCAATGTGCTGGTTGGTGTAGATATGAGACAGAAGATTTTGATCAGGATCAATATCAGTGTGCATAGGGATGCAGAGGGATCACGATACAAGATACACGATAAAGCAAAACACAAGAATAAAAACAAATACAATAAAATAGTAACAATTTAGAAGTAAAATAAAGATCCAATAGATAGCCAGGGAGGGCATAGAAGTTACATAAAATAAAAAACAAAAAATCAGTAGAGACTGACAATATAAATGTAAAATAAAAAATAATAAGAAAAATAATAATCATAAAAAAAAAAATGATGGTGTAATTTGATATCAACAGATGGCGTAAGCTGTACCTTATGGCTACTATTGACCAGCCAGTTAATAGTGTTCTCTTTTGCCGACAGATGGCATCAGCTGTATCATTATTACCTCCGAATTCCCTTTTAAATACTGACCTACAAATCCCGTAGCTTATGATACGCTTTTATATAATTTGTGATAAAGATTAGGTAACTGGAGTTCTGCAATGTTCTTGTAATGTTATTTGTCTATTTGTACTCGCTGAATTTGTGCGCCCCTTGAGGGACTTCAAGTAGAGGAGGGTAGAAATAGCCTATCTACTCTCTCTCTTTGAGGTGTATTTCTTTCTTATCTCAATAAAAATACTTGAGCCCGTTTCTGCCCGAAACGCTTTGCGTAATAGTGGCTTTAGGCATTGTATGTACTAGCTCTATCTATTAACCCAACAAACTTTGTAAAATCCCTTTATGTATGTACCTTACCTAAATAAAAATTATTATTATTATTATTACTTGAACTTAAACTTGTACAATGGAGTAAGGGAGCAAGTATGGCGAGGCTAGGCTGCCTAGTCTCAACATCTACGACACTGCTGTATCCAAGACTACTAAATAGGCCCATTATATTGAAAATAAACGGTACAAATATAGAGAGAGTTAATTTATATAAATATTTAGGCATATATGGTGGATATACCCATGAGAGTTTGGAAGCTGAGATGAACAGACTGTTGGGTGAATGTCGGAAGAGATTACAACCTCTGAAGGCCTTGGCATGCTGTGGAGAGGGAGTGGGAGTCCCTGTGCTAGGAATGATATACTTGAGTACTGTAAGATCTCTTATTGATTATGCTGCACCTGTCATTTCTTGTTTTGGTAAAGGTAGGATGGGCAAGTTGGAGAAGGTACAAAATGAAGTCATGAGAATTATCTTAGGATGCCCAAGAAATGCTATGATTGAGATAATGAGGTTGGAGTTGAAAGTATAAAATGTGTTGATAACAAATAAAAATAAAAATAAGAAAGGGGGGAACATGGCTGAAAAAGCAGCACAAATATAATTAGGTCGACAAACAGCGGTGTTAAAAAAAAAAACAGACATTGGTTGACAATACAGGGGTAAGGTAGGTTACAGGGAATTTATTAGGTAGTGCTTCGTTTTTATCTTAAATTGGTTAAGAGAGGTACAGTCTTTAACATGATTGGGAAGGTCATTCCACATTCTGGGTTCCTTGATTTGTAGAGCATTTCTAGTTTGATTAAGTCGTACTCTTGGAATATCAGAACTGTATTTGTTTCTGGTGTGGTGCTCATCGGTTCTGTTACAACCTTCAATGAAGCTTTTGAGGTCAGGATTGGCCCCATTACAGTTCAGCCTTTTATATATGTATAATACACATGAGAGAATGTGCAGTGACTTAATGGCTAACATATTCAGAGATTTGAGTAGGGGTACCGAGTGATGTCTGGGGCTAGAGTTGGATATTGTCCTTATAGCAGCTTTGTGTTGATTAATTAGAGGACGTAAATGATTTTGGGTAGTAGAACCCCAAGCACAAATACCATAGTTGAGATATGGATAGATGAGGGAGTAATAGAGCGTCACCAGGGCAGGGCGGGGTACATAATATCTGATCTTAGAAAGAATGCCAACAGTTTTTGAAACTTTTTTGATATATTTAGAATATATATATAGTTATAGACGTAGTGTATATTTATTTATTTATTTATATACAAGAAGGTACTACATTGGGTTTGTGAGAATACATATCATGGTATTTACAACACATATCATCAAAGGAAATATAGTGATAGACGCAGTATATTTTGCGTCTATAGTGATAGACGCAGTATATACTGCGTCTATAGTGACAAACGTAGTATATTCTGCGTCAATAGTGATAGACGCAGATAGAACTTTTGAAGAATTGACGGTGTCCGATACTTAGTGCTTGAATACCGGCCAATAATAAAAAAAAATGTACTCAAAATATCTATTCTTTTCAGGGTAATATAACAAGCGTATATTAATCATTACAAATAAATACTTTATGTAGTAAATAATGCTATTATTAGGGAAAAGAGTTGGTGTAATAGAGCGCATGTGAGGGTTCACTTGTCCAGTTGTTATGGTGGTGAGCGTCGGCCTGGACCCTCGTCCTTCTTCACCCAACACCCGCGCCAGCTGTGAGTACACATCATGCATCCCCCTTTATCCCGGGCATCTGTAGAGTATGGTGGTGGTGTGTGTGTGAGGGCACGGGGCATGATGCCCGGGCGAGGCTCTACGGGGTGGCGGGGGCACCAGACGCTGTATATAATGGGGTTTAACATGGGAGATGTGGAATGGGTCCAGGGCATGATGGGTTCTGATTTGTTTCTCCTCGACAGTTGGGGCTGCTCCCTGAGGCGTGCCAGGCAAGATGTTGATGCCCAAGGGTAATAGAGTGGCCATCTATGAGCACCTTTTCAAGGGTAAGTTGTATTTTCTTCAAGTAATACTCTAGTGGGGGTTGGAGGCATGGTGGCTTGAGTAGGGGCTGTGTATTTCAGATTATTAGTTCGTCATGCACGTGTTAGTCTTCTCGTTAATACGTCTCGTTCATACGTCTTCTCGTTTAACTAAGGATATGTTTTGTTTTAAAGAAATAGGTTTCGTTAATTGCATACAAAAAGTCACAGAATCACTAAAATTATTCCTAGTAAAATGTAGGAAAGTAGATTTTATATAATATAAATTGCACATTCGGAATGGCTATGGAGTTTCCACTTTGCTCTGGTGTTATCCTGGCCAGGCATGGTTCACCAGCTTTGGGGTCCCAGCAGGTCAATACTACTTGGTGGTTTCCCCCACACTTGTCTACTACTATTGTACCGCTTCCTTTGATATAACCATTCCTTATCCAACTTAAGATAGCTCTGCCAGTACCGAGCATCTTTCTGATCGCTTTGTGAGGTACGGTATAATGTTTTGCTGAAGTCAAGGGGCAAGTCTTGATCCTTTCCAATATTGTCTGCCTCGAATTTTCTGGAATAAAATGAAAAATGTTTCAAATAAAAGTGGCCTGTGTTAGTATCACTTGAGTTTTTATCGACTTCAGGACAGTGGGTATGGGGAAACATGCATCATACCCACATGTGAAAACATTAAAAAGTACCAAAATAATTTTTCATTATGGCATGCATGTAGAATGTAACAAAAAACAAAATATTTATTGGATGGAAATGCTGTGAACGGTTACATGGTGAATATGTAGCCTGACGTCTGTCTGTACACAATGCTGACTTTGTTGACACAACCATGCAAGACACTTGTTTTCATTGAATGTTTCCTTATCACTTTTCATTCATAAGAACATAAGAACATAAGAACAAAGGTAACTGCAGAAGGCCTATTGGCCCATACGAGGCAGCTCCTATTCTATAACCACCCAATCCCACTCATATACTTGTCCAACCCGTGCTTGAAACAATCGAGGGACCCCACCTCCACAATGTTACGCGGCAATTGGTTCCACAAATCAACAACCCTGTTACTGAACCAGTATTTACCCAAGTCTTTCCTAAATCTAAACTTATCCAATTTATATCCATTGTTTCGTGTTCTGTCCTGTGTTGATACTTTTAATACCCTATTAATATCCCCCCTATTAATATCCAAAATAATATTTGCAAGAGTAAGTTTTTAAATAACTATAAATCTTGTAATGCATGATAATGTTTCAATTGATTAGTTTATTAGTGGAGTGCCTCAAGGCTCTGTCTTGGGACCTCTGTTGTTTATAATATATATGAATGATTTAGATTCAGGTTTGAGTAGCAACATTTGCAAATTTGCTGATACAAAAATCGGTAGGGAAATTAACACGGAAGACGACTATCACTACAAGTTGATCTAAATAGGGTTTTGAAATGGTCAAAAGATTGGCAGATGCAGTTTAATGCTGATAAAGGTAAAATTTTGAGGCTAGGTAATGATGATAGTTACAAGATACGAGCTAGATGGTGTTGAGATTGCGGTCGGATTGCGAAAGGGCTCTGGGAATTATGATTAGTAAGAATTTAAAACCAAAGGATCAAATGCATGAATGTTCGTAATAAGGCAAATAGGACACTGGGATTTATTAATCGAAGCGTTAGTAACAAGTTACCTGGTGGTGTTCTTCAGCTATATCTTGCTCTGGTTAGGCCCCATTTAAATTATGCAGTTTGGTTGCCGTACTATAGAATGGATATAAATTCACTCGAAAGTGTCCAGCGTAGGATGATAATTAAGAAGTGAATTCCCCAAATTAGAAATCTTTCATATGAAGAATGATTGCATTGTTTGACAATCTAGGTAGGCTTTTAAAGTACCATATGTGATTATCTTTGTCAGTTTAGCATCTTCATATTAGATTACTCTTCCATCTTGTCTAGCCAGATATAACATGCAGATTAAACAATTAAAATTTATTCAAATCTTGCTTCATTTGCCAAGGAAAAAATCAGTTGGCCAGAACAAGTCCATACTGTTAATGTTGTATATTAATAGTTAAAGTATGTTAAATTATTTATTAGGAAATTGTTAGGAGCATTATTGAGATTCTGGTTCCTCCCTCTTCCAGTTTGTAACAAAAGTTTCAGCAGATTTATTTTTGTTTTAATGTGTTGCCATCACAGTATGGACTTCTTCAGAAGTCTTGATTAAAAGTAATTTGTTATCGCAGAGGGTGTGATGGTGGCCGAGCGTGACCTGTTCATGCCCAAACATCCAGAGCTAGAAAAAATACCAAACCTACACGTTATAAAGGCTCTTCAGGTTAGTTTACATTTTGCCGTGCAAAATGTGATGTTTATTTTTTAATGGGTTTCTCTATTTTTGACTAATATATTGACCTGGATGACTTAAAACAAATGTATACAGTACAGTATATGAGCTATTAGGCTGATGTTATGCTTAGGTAACCATAAATGTTCTTTACTTCTAAAATGTGGAGCATTCAGAAAACATTATAAAATGCTTATGTAAACATTCAAAGGAGCAGTGATGCTGTTAATCTTTTAAGTTGGGAATGCTGCATTAGAAATAGGGCTGTCAAATATTTGAGAACACCGATATTATATACTGTACATTGTTAAATTGAACATTTGTGTCCTGATGCACATTTCTATTTTGCTAGGTCATTCAAACCAGTTAGTAGGTGCTTTTGAATTCTAGAAAATTTTCATTTCAATTTTCATTTCATCTAGAAAATTTTTCTAGAAAAAAATCATTGAAAATAGCTATTACCATTTCCAATTGTTTTTTCCCAAGGCTTTTCTAGTTACTGTATAATGTTAGTAATTATTAAATGTCATTATTCTCCCTTCCTTCCCTAGAGCTTGAAATCCCGAGGTTATGTAGAGCAGAACTTTGCATGGCGCCATTACTACTGGAGGCTTACCAATGAGGGGATACAATACCTACGTGACTATCTGCACCTTCCTGCTGAAGTAAGTGGTAGTCTTATCTTCATTATACCATAGGCTTTGGATGGCTAAGGAATCTGAGAAGTTTTTTTTTAGTCTTGCTGTGGATATTAACCCCCAGAATGCAGTTATAATAAATTATTATTGCCTGTATGGTAAAAAACCAAACTATTATTTATCTGCAGAAAGTAAGGTTTGTTGCACAGTTAGTAGCCAGGTGTAGATAAGTGGGGCGAGATCATTGTAAAGGTTGGAGAACCACTGGTTTACACAACGAAGTCAAATGAGGACTATTATTAATATAGTGTAGAAAATATGCCTTTGTTGCATTGTATTAGTATTTTCTACCAGTACAATTAAGGCTTTGTTGTAGATTGTACCAGCAACTCTAAAGAAGCCCACTCGTCCTGAAGGACGACCAAGACCTATGCAGTCACGTTCTGAAGGGCCTCGCGGAGAAGGCTCCCGGGATGCTTATCGTCGCGCTCCTTCTGGTGTGGACAAGACTGGTGATGCAGGTGCAGGCTCATCTTCCATGGAATTCGTAAGTACAGCCCCAAGTTTTGGTTCAGAGCAAGTAACTGGTGGATTTTTCACAAAATAGATAAGAATTAAAAAGTGCATTTAGGGAGTTACACTTGTGCATTTCAGGAGTCTCTTGCCAGTATCTCCATCCCAAATGTCGAGATTACCTTAAAGCTCGTTGGTTTTACAATTAAAATTGTTAAATTGAATTTGCTACAGTTAATTCAAATAGTATATAACAAAATACAATAATTGAAAATAAAATGGTAACTTCAATTCCTCATATGCTTGATATTAACAGCAAGGTTTTAATGTGATATGGTAGTGGGGTAAGGAAATTGGATTCCTGTGTGTGTGTGGTACAAATGTGAAGTCAGTTTTAACATTTAGAACTGGATTGTCTGCAAATCATTTGAGGTGTTTGAACAGTTTTATAAATAAAGCGAAACGCTGATGTAAAATTCATGCAAAGAGGTCAATGAATATGATTGGGATACTATATATATATTGAACATGTGATAATTTGACAATGTGCAAGGGAATTTGAAGGGGAGGGATTGGAGGGGGGTGAGAGTGGGATGTTGAACTTTCCTTGCCCAATAAGTGAATATCAGGGTAAATATAGTATTGCTTACCAGAATATAATATGCAGTAAGGCTGATAAGGGGCTACGCCTTTGATTATCATTCCCACAATTTGTTGCAATATTTGACAAGTTTTGAGAACTTAAAAATGTACAATTTGTCGATCATTTTTTTCCCCCCCCAAGAAATGGGTAGTCTGGTTTGATGGCGTGTTTTCTTTTTCAGCGTGGTGGCTTTGGTCGCGGTTCAAAGAGGCCTCAGTAAAGTGCGAACAAGAAAAAATGTGCTAGTTTCCTTGCCCTTCAATTATTAGTTTCTAAATATTTTTTAATTAAATTTGTTGTGTTAGAGAAGTTAGTTGGGTTGCCAGGCATTATTTTAGAATAATTATACAGTACTATAGTTGCCAAGGTGTTTATTTAAAGGTACAATAACTTTAAAGCATCAATCCATATTTAAAGTTGCCTACTGGGGCATGCTGGATGGTTTTCTGTTGGGCCAGATTCCATCACTAGCCATTCTAGACACCACATGGAAGTACCTTCCCGAGAATGTGGAGTGACATTTCTTTGTGCGGAATGTAAAATGAGCAAGATGACTAATTTGTTATATATTGAAGGGAGAGCTTGATCTGTTTTGCAGATGTTAATGATAAAGCAATGAAGCTGGAAGCAAGCAATCTGCCTAAATTAAAATGTATTCTGGGGAAGAGAGATCTTTGTTTCATACAAAAATTAATATAACTGTGCTAATAATAACTAATATAACAAAATAATATAACCTGTGATAATATAAGTGGTAAACAACACCTTGGCATTTTCATTAGTTAAATTGGTCTAGGAAAGTTAATGTGCAATTTGTTTAAGCAGTGTAATGACTGGTATTGAGTGTACAGGTGATTATCAAAGGTAAGATTACTTTTTCTTTATTGAAAGGTAAGAATATGTGTATAAAGGAATTACTTCCATAATTGGAGTATGTAAGATTTGATGTTTGCAGAAGATTGTTCTTGAAGCTGTGAAAAAGTTTTGTTTGAGACTGGCTGAAAGTACCTAGTTACATTGTGATAGACCATCAGTGAATATTTTATTGAAGAGAAGGTTGCTCCTTGCTTGACTTGCTGCCTTCTGTTAAATGCTGAATATTAAGGATCCCATCAGTTAACTGTCGTAAAGCACTCCTTGGTGAATTTTTTTTCTGCCATAAGATTGTCACGAGCAATATAATAAAAGTACAATACCTTAGTTCAACTTGTCTAGTACAGGATACCCATACTGCCTTAGTCCATGATAGCAACATAAAATTTATTTTGTCACTTATTTTCCAGAAATGAAGATTTGCCTCCTAACCCCCCTCACTGGTGAGTTTTGAATAGATACCTTGTACCACATTAATTTTAATGATGAAAACTATCGCTGTATGGTTAGATCCTGACAAATATTGATGTCAACTAGGGCGGACTGAAATTTTGTAAAAATGCTTTTATAAAGAGCTTTAATTTATCAATTGGTAATAATGTGTTTAATTTTCAGGTTCGCCAGTGCTGTTCACATTGATGCAGATCACGAAGTAGGTAATACGATAGTCTAGTATTTTACTTTATTTTAAGAATGGTCATATGGGATAAAAACCCGCATTTGTGTATTTAGTAAAATGCACTAGTGTGCTTTATCAAAGTCCGAGTATTTGGTTAGGACGAGACTTGCATCTTGACATCATTTAGACATTGAGGTGCCAGTCTCTAGCAGATTTATTGGTATCCCAGCCATATTGGTATTACCTTAAATGAATGCGAGGACACTGTTGCTAAGGAGGCTGGCCACAATTGTCCTATTAAAAAAAAATCCTTATTTAGGATTTTACCCAGTCATTCATTACTCTACCTTCTTGCAGACTCGTTGGTCTGAGGTTACAAGCGACAAACTGCACACCCTTGAAAGTTGCCTTCCCTTTAGCATTGCGCCTCTTCTGTATACTATCTTTCCTGATGAACGATTGCTCCAATATTTTCTTGACTACATCGCCTTACTGTGATTTCAATGTACATTAGAGATGTTCAGTGTTTATAAAGAGCATGACCAAATTTGTCTTTGAATGTTGATAAAATTATGGTAGTTGTGTAGCATTGGAGGCTGGACCTGATGCAACCTTGTTGTATCAGGTAGACTTTGAAAGATACTTACAGTAGGTAAGATCTCTTGACCACTTTTGCTACATGGGCTTCCCAGCCTGGTGCTTTAGTATGGGAATTTCTTATTTATAACCAATTCTGCATTTTCTTTGTGCTAGTCTGTATCTTTGATGTGAAAATACCTTACTTTTAACTGTTATAATATTAGTATTACCATATTACCATTGATGCTGCTATTACTTAGTTACTGGTTACTGTTGCAATTATTATTACTTGCTAACCATTTTCCCCTTTTGTTTTCCAGGAAGGAAGATTAAAAAAATTATGAAAGATTATATCTTCAATTTTCACAATAAGATTCATTGGGGAAAATCTACCAAACTAGCAAATGTCCAATGAGGAAACTTGTTGAAAGGTGGGTTTAACAAGTGGTGATTCTGTACCATAAATGACATTTTGAAATTAATGATGATAATCTTGTCTTTATATGGTTAGATCACTGACAACTGTTGATGTCGAACTAGGGCGAACTGAAATTGTACAAACAAATTATAGAGGCTTTATTTTATTGAATAGCAATATTGAACATTGTTCTAATTTACAGGTCTCGCTGAAGGACTGTTCTTATTGTTGCAGATTGTCAGCATGTAAGTTATTTTCAACTTTATACTTAAAATTTAATTAAAGAATTGTGTACACAATCTTGCAAAAGCATCCTATTTACGTACATCTCCTTCCCGCTGCACCTATATGGTGCCCTCCCACATGTCCTACACATTTACATTAAAGGACTAATGTCCTATGTTTAACCTAACCCTGATCATTAGGACAATGGCTTTAATAATTTCTCTTGTGTGAGAAAGAGGTTTGTGGGTACAAGAGCTGTAATTATTATAATATAGCCTGCAACAAATTAATCCAGCTTCTGTAAGCTACCTATGGTTAAAATGTAGTGGTAGTCTCCTACACACCCTAAACAGTATTGGTGACTGGTGGGGGTTACATGTATGAGAGTATATTACCATGGAAAGTCAAATATTCTAAAATTGTCAATTTATTATTTGAGTACTCTAATGTTTCAATATCAGGCATTGAAATAAAAAACTAAAATAAAAGGGAAAGATAGAAAATTTATTTTTACCAAGCATCATAAGTAACAAGAACTAGTGAAGTATAAATGTAGAGTCCTTTCTGGTCCTAAACCTCTGGCTTTTGCCTAGAAAACCATACTAGTCTTGTGCTCAAGATATAAAAGTTATTCTACTGTAGCCTTTCCACACATTACTGTATTTTTCATGACTGGCGTTGTGGCATGAACGGAATTCCATGCAGATCTTGATGATCGTGTGGCCAAAGCTCATGCAATAGTAAAAAGATTCTCCTGAAGGTTTTGTCTTTAAAGATGTGATCAGATGGAAGTATCTAACACGTCTTGAGCACTTGTTTATATTTTATGGAAAATGTTGTACCATGGCTGGAATAATGTAATCTTGACACTGGCTGTTAATATGTCATGGTACTGACAAACTCTGCCTTTTACTAATATTTAATATCTTCCATTTTGTTTTCCAGAAGGAAAGATTTGGCTCCTAACATGGAACTGTGATGCCTTCTTGATGGGGTTTTGAGAGTAGTTGTACTCCAGAAGCCCGGTCCGAGGTCAGGCTTGACTTGAGATGTGAGTTTTTAGTGGATACACGACTGTAAATATGGCAATTTTAGTGATGATAACCTTGTCTTTATATGGTTAGATTACTGACTATTGTTGATGTCAACTAGGGCGGACTGAAATTGTATAAATATATTTACAGTGATTTTATCATGTAGCAATGCTAACTGATTATTTTGTTTTTATTAATTAAAAGGTTCACTAGTGCTTGCCATGTTGTTACAGACAGGCATCAGACAAGATTCAAAGTTAGAATTATAGAGGTCTAAGAGTTGCTATGCTGTCTGTGATGCCACTACAGTCCTGGATATATTCAAGAAGAAATGCTGGCAATTGGATATAACATCAGAGCACCTGCACTACAGTATCTGCTCCCACATTTAAGTTGGAGGTAAGTACTGTACAGTACTTGGATTCTCTAAAACCAATAGTTTAGTAAAATGTTAGTATCTAATACATTGTGCTAATTTGACTAAAGTTTTTTGAGAGTAGAGGCAGGGTTTAGCATTGCAGCGTTTAATTTATATACAGTATATACTTTGGTGGTAATGAATCATAAACTGATGTGGATAGTGATGTAAAATGTGCGAGTTTTCTTTATTAAATCGTAAGATCAGTCGTGCATGTTTATGGTAAGTGAGGTTGAAATATTAGATGTTCAGTAAACCCATACATAAATTATAATGTTTAAAATTAGTTTTTCCACATGTTCTAGAGCATTTGTTTCAAGTTTTGACAATTGGTTAAAAGATTAATGGCCTTAAAAATTGAAATTTGCATATTCTTGTCCATGATATAGTCCATTATAGCAACATAAATTTATTTTGTCACTTATTTTCCAGAAATGAAGATTTGCCTCCTAACCCCCCTCACTGGTGAGTTTTGAATAGATACCTTGTACCACATTAATTTTAATGATGAAAACTATCGCTGTATGGTTAGATCCTGACATATATTGATGTCAACTAGGGCGGACTGAAATTTTGTAAAAATGCTTTTATAAAGAGCTTTAATTTATCAATTGGTAATAACGTGTTTAATTTTCAGGTTCGCTAGTGCTGTTCACATTGATGCAGATCACGAAGTAGGTAATATGATAGTCTAGTATTTTACTTTATTTTAAGAATGGTCATATGAGATAAAAACCCGCATTTGTGTATTTAGTAAAATGCACTAGAGTGCTTTATCAAGGTCCGAGTATTTGGTTAAGTTTGGTTATTTGACTTGCATCTCGACATCATTTAGACATTGAGGTGCCAGTGTGTCTAGCAGATTTATTGGTATCCCAGCCATATTGGTATTACCTTAAATGAATGCGAGGACACTGTTGCTAAGGAGGCTGGCCACAATTGTCCTATTAAAAAAAAAAATCCTTATTTAGGATTTTACCCAGTCATTCATTACTCTACCTTCTTGCAGACTCGTTGGTCTGAGGTTACAAGCGACAAACTGCACACCCTTGAAAGTTTCCTTCCCCTTAGCATTGCGCCTCTTCTGTATACTATATCTTTCCTGATGAACGATTGCTCCAATATTTTCTTGACTACATCGCCTTACTGTGATTTCAATGTACATTAGAGGTGTTCAGTGTTTATAAAGAGCATGACCAAATTTGTCTTTGAATGTTGAGAAAATTATGGTAGTTGTGTAGCATTGGAGGCTGGAACTGATGCAACCTTGTTGTATCAGGTAGACTTTGAAAGATACTTATAGTAGGTAAGATCTCTTGACCACTTTTGCTACATGGGCTTCCCAGCCTGGTGCTTTAATATGGGAATTTCTTATTTATAACCAATTCTACATTTTTTTTGTGCTAGTCTGTATCTTTGATGTGAAAATACCTTACTTTTAACTGTTATAATATTAGTATTACCATTGATGCTGCTATTGCTTAGTTACTGTTTTAATGCTGCAATTATTATTACTTGCTAACCATTTTCCCCTTTTTGTTTTCCAGGAAGGAAGATTATTAAAATTATAAAAGATTATATCTTCAATTTTCACAATAAGATTCATTGGGGAAAATCTACAAAACTAGCAAATGTCCAATGGGGAAACTTGTTGAAAGGTGGGTTTAACAAGTGGTGATTCTGTACCATAAATGACATTTTGAAATTAATGATGATAATCTTGTCTTTATATGGTTAGATCACTGACAACTGTTGATGTCGAACTAGGGCGAACTGAAATTGTACAAACAAATTATAGAGGCTTTATTTTATTGAATAGCAATATTGAACATTGTTCTAATTTACAGGTCTCGCTGAAGGACTGTTCTTATTGTTGCAGATTGTCAGCATGTAAGTTATTTTCAACTTTATACTTAAAATTTAATTAAAGAATTGTATACACAATCTTGCAAAAGCATCCTATTTACGTACATCTCCTTCCCGCTGCACCTATATGGTGCCCTCCCACATGTCCTACACATTTACATTAAATGACTTAATTTCCTATGTTTAACCTAACCCTGATCATTAGAACATTGGCTTTAATAATTTCTCTTTGTGAGAGGTTTGTGGGTACAAGGCCTGCAATTATTATATTATTATAGCCTGCAACAAATTAATCTAACTTCTTTCGGTAAGCTACCTATGGTTAAAATGTAGTGGTAGTCTCCTACACACCCTAAACAGTATTGGTGACTGGTGGGGGTTACATGTATGAGAGTATATTGCCATGGAAAGTCAAATATTCTATAATTGTCAATTTAGTATTTGAGTACTCTAATGTTTCAATGTCAGGCATTGGCCTAAATAAAACTAAAATTAATGGGAAAGATAAAATTTATTTTTACCAAGCATCATAAGTAACAAGAACTAAGTAAAAATGTAGTCCTTTCTGGTCCTAAACCTCTAGCTTTTGCCCAGAAAACCATACTAGTCTTGTGCTCAAGATATAAAAGTTATTCTACTGTAGCCTTTCCACACACTGTATTTTTGGTCTCTGGAGTTGTGGCATGAACGGAATTCCATGCAGATCTTGATGATCGTGTGGCCAAAGCTCGTGCAATAGTAAAAAGATTCTCCTGAAGGTTTTGTCTTTAAAGATGTTATCAGATGGAACTATCTAACACGTCTTGAGCACTTGTTTAAATTTTGTGGAAAATGTTATACCATGGCTGGAATAATGTAATCTTGACACTGGCTGTTAATATAATGTCATGGTACTGACAAACTCTTCCTTTTACTAATATTTAATATTTTCCATTTTGTTTTCCAGAAGGAAAGATTTGGCTCCTAACATGGAAATGTGATGCCTTCTTGATGGGGTTCTGAGAGTAGTTGTACTCCAGAAGCCCGGTCCGAGGCCAGGCTTGACACGAGATGTGAGTTTTTAGTAGATGCGCGACTGTAAATATGGCAATATTAATGACAACCTTGTCTTTATATGGTTAGATTACTGACTGTTGTTGATGTCAACTAGGGCGGACTGAAATTGTATAAATGTATTTGCTGTGATTTTATCATGTAGCAATGTTAACTGATGTTTTTTTTTTTTTTTTTAAAAGGTTCATGAGTGCTTGCCATGTTGGTACAGACAGGCATCAGACAAGATTCAAAGTTAGAATTATAGAGGTCTAAGAGTTGCTATGCTGTCTGTGATGCCACTGCAGTCCTGGATATATTAAAAAGAAATATTGGCAATTGGATAAAACATCAGAGCACCTACACTACAGTATCTGCTCCCACATTTAAGTTGGAGGTAAGTACTGTACAGTACTTGGATTCTCTAAAATCAATAGTTTAGTAAAATGTTAGTTTCTAATACATTGTGCTAATTTGACTTTCTTCGAGAGTAGAGGTGGGTTTTAGCATTGCAGTGTTTAATTTATATACAGTATATACTTTGGTGGTAATGAATCAAAAACTGATTGTTGTGGATAGTGATGTAAAATGTGCGAGTTTTCTTTTTTAAATCGTAAGAGAAGTCGTGCATGTTTATGGTAAGTGAGGTTGAAATACTAGATGTTCAGTTAACCCATACATAAATTTTAATGGTTAAAATTAGTTTTTCCACATGTTCTAGAGCATTTGTTTCTTCAAGTTTTGACAATTAGTTAAAAGATTAATGGTCTTAAAAATACAAATTTGCATATTTAGTCACTGGACTGCTTTTAGTCTTTATATCGTAAAGTAAATTGCATATAAAACTTTATATATATAGGTTGTGCTTATAATATATAATATAATATGCTTATAATATAATATCTGCTTATAATAGGATCAATTATAAGCAGAGTACATTATAGTGAATGGTGTGTAATTGTTTTGGCATTTAATAAATGCATACTGTAATTATATATTTTGTACAGTGATGATCCAAAAGATAATGAACTAATGATTAAAAATCAAGTGGGAATCTATCTGATGCATAAATAAATGCAATAAATGTTTCTTTATAATTTTTGTATAGCAATTTATTTTTTCATTTTCAGACTGAACTACTACTGTTGACAGTTGACTCCCCATAAGTCTTGTAATCAGGTATGTACCCATTGTGTAATTAGTTGTTACTATCCAGTAAATTGCCACTGTTGCCCAAGAAATGCCACCCACCACCAGCACACTGCATCTTATTGCTGATAATTTGTTGTGGTTGAAGCCTGAAAAGAATGATTATGTTAATGTGAATAAAACATGCAGTGGTATTTTGTCTTGAAGGTTCATGTCATAGACATGATCAGATGGCAATCTTTTAACATGGTTTTTGTAGTGGTGTTTGTGAAGAGTATCATACCAAGGCTTTTAACAATCGAATACTTTAAACTTGGTTAATGTTTTCATATGACAATGGTGCTGTAGACTGGACCAAAGTAAACCCTGTCGACAATGGAGCTGAAGCAACACTAACTGAACCATGGTTTATTGCACAAGCAGATGCCATCAATGGCAGTAGGAATGTGTGAATGGACAAGATGTTGCATGGTGGCAATATCAGTGATGACAAGCAACCTTGTCAGTGGTTTTATCAACACGGGTGGATAGAAAGTTTTGTAGATTGTGAAAGATGATGAGCAATTATAAGCAGAGTCCTGAAGACACAATATCCCATAGCGTTCTGACTGTATCATATGTTAATAAAATAAACGTAAATGTGACACGGGGTAAAAAACAAAATTTCTTTCCATTTCCAGGAGGGACGATATTCTTCAATGCCTTAGAAATCCGCAGTTAATGGTTTGTTACATTTAACATTTTTATTAATGAATACTCCTGGTTTTTCTTTTTAGTGATGATACAAAAACAAAAATGAACAAATGATTAAAAATCAATGGGAATCTCTCTGATGCATACATGAATGCAATAAATATTTATAATTTGGAATTTTTTTGATTTTCTGTTTTTCCACAGATTATTCTACCATTGACACCATTTAATCGGGTTAGTTTTCTTGCGTATCCATTGTTGCCTAATGTGTCCTTTTCACTACATATTCCAGTCTTAATTTTTCATTTCTATCTTTCCTTTAACTAAACCTCTTTTGATTGGCTGTGTACAGAATTGTATTTTTATTTACTTTGCTGTAAATAGTTTCAATATGATGATAAAAGACATTCAGAGTCCTGAAGACAAAATGCATCCCATAGCGTTCTGATTATAGCAATACAGTAGTAAAAAATTTTCTTGCTAATTATACAAAGTATAATAATTTCCTAATTTTCCAGGTAATGAAGGATGATGCATGTCAGCTGAAGCAGTAAATGGTAAGTCCAATGGTCTTCTACTTGCAGTATATTTTAAGCATGAATTAATATTGGGTTCAGTATATTGAATCATTTTGATCAATTTCTGTAGGCATTTAACATTGATTATTCAACCTGTTCTCTTACAAATTACGTCTGAATTTGGCTGTTGGCCCCGTATGGCCGAAAATTGACGTAATTTGAAAATGGGGGAAAAAAAATAGAAAATTTGGGATTTTTTTCCAAACACAGTAAGTTAAGGGTCCTCTAGGAGAATTTCCTGCCCTCGTAACCTACCAAAGCTTTGAAACGTCATGGAAAAACATTAATTGAAAGTGTCCTCTCCTAACCTAACGGACTAAGCTGGAGGACCCAAACAGGAAATGGGACAGTACAGTACATTCGTGAGCTAATTTCATCTCGAATAATGTCCATTTTTGGCCATAGCTCGCATATGAGGTAAAAGCAACATTTTCAAGAGGACAGGTTGGATTACTAACATGGTTTTTGTCTGTGTTATGGTTGGTCACATTTGCTTCCTTGGCCTAGTGCCTTGTATCAAATTGGTTTGGCGTTCTGTCAGCCAACTGGTTCTGGGGCTTTGTAATCAACCAAGAAAACTTCCAGAATCATAGTACCACAATTTCATTAGTTCTTGTGGCCTCCAATCTCTGGCACAAAGTTCTGGCCATGGCTAGAGCCTAGTTAAAACTACTTGAATACCATTCCTCAAAATGTGTTCATTGTAACTGAAGGATTAAGCTCCCTAAGGTTGTTGTATATACTTCATTTGTATTTTCATAAGCAATGATCATATGATAAGGAAGTGAAATTTATGATTAATCTTTTTATCTGATCATGCATTTTACAAAGTTACAAGATCCTAAATAAAAAACAATGAAACTTCTTTACAGACTGCTGGACCATCAGCTGGACACCTGGTTGTTACTGTTACACCTGATTGAGATGTAAGTAATTTCTGAAAAGGAAATTGATAAGAATGCATTTAATAAAAAAAAGTACATAAAAGTAGAGGCTTTAACTTTTGTACTGTATATACTATTTTATATATTTGTGTAATGATGATAATGTGATAGGGACATATGAAATAAATGATTAATTATCATTTTAAAATCTGATGCATGTCTTAAATTTTTGGATGCCTATTTAATATTGGAAATTCTAAATACAATTTGTTTTCTTTACAGGTTGTGGATTGTGACTGTTGATGGCTGGTTGTTACTTAAGCGTCAGGTATGTAGTGCCCCACGTGGCTGTGATGTCTTTACCACGACCAGAAATGATGATAATGTGCTAGGGACTTATGAATTAGATGATTAATTATCATTGAAATCTGATACATATACAGGCATTGAGGATTGGATCTATGATGTCAAATATTATATCAATGTTCATTTCTCCTACAGATTGGTCCTGATATTTGGCACCTGACTTGGCAGCTTTATTCAAATGAAGGCTTTTTGACAGGATTAATAAAGAGGTATGTAATGCAGGCGATGAGTCACAATAACGTGGCTGAAGTATGTTGACCAGACCACACACTAGAAATTGAAGGGACGACGACGTTTCGGTCCGTCCTGGACCATTCTCAAGTCGATTGTGATGAGGAGGTAGGGACAGGCAATAAATAGGCAAGAGAGAGCTGAGGAGGAAAGTCAGGTGTAGGGGATAGTAGTAATGGAAACTGCAGCAGGCCTATTGGCCCACACGAGGCGGCTCCTATTATAACCACCGAAGGAGAAGTAATAGGAAAAAGAAGAGGATAGCAAGGGAGCATAGGAGAAGACAATGAACAGAAAAAGGGAGAAAAGAGAAAGAAAAGGAAAGAGAAAGAAAGAAATGGAAGGGGGAAAGCTTATGTTAAGTCACGTTTGTTAGAAAGATTAGAGCATTTGAGTATATACTGTGAAAGGGAAGAGTCCACAGCAACAAAGCCAGGACTCAAGTTCATGTTGGGTACATTGTTAATAAGAGCCGATTCTACAAGACGGCGTCTGTGTAGAGTAGAGGCAGGAAAGATTATTTTGGAGGAAGACCAATCAATGGGATGATTAGAATCCCTCACATGGCAGAAGAGAGCAATTACATACCTTCAGGTATGTAATTTTCATAGCCAAGAGATTTAAATATTTTAGCAGTTCTATAGGATTAAACTTTTAGTCACTAAAATGAGCAAAATTTGAAGTCATTTTATAATTATACTGTAGTGCAGGTAGTTTCAACCTATGCAGGAACAAAATTCAATTAGCAATTTTTTACCAAAATGGTTTCTAATGGTGTATTTTCTGGATGTAAATTTAACCAAATACACATGTGGGTTGTTATCCAATTTTGTGTCTGAGAAGACATGACTTACATTATATATTGAGTTTTTACTACTAAAATGTCTCCTTTCCCACTGCTTTAACCCTACCACTTTTGGTTGACATTATGGAAAAAGGACTGGTTTCTTAATGGCTGAACTGAATGCTATCTTGTATGCACTTATGTATATCCCAACGTCAAAGTTCCTGTGTGATTGTGGTAGACTTCCACAGTGCCCTCATGGCCCTGAAATCGTTTAACCTTATGCGTCCTGTGACTGTTGAAATCCAAAATGGGTTATTTATATCTAATAGATTTAAGACGGTCGTTTTGCTGCGTTCCCAGTTATATTGGTATTACCTTAACTGAACATGAGGACACTGCTGCTAATGAGGCTGACCACACTTGTCCTATATCCAAAAAGATTTACTTGTTCATGTTTTTACCCAGTCATTACAATGCCAGTGACTGCTGTCACTGTTGTTGGTGTGAGGTTACATGTGACAAACTTCTCGCACTTAAGTAACCTATTTGCTTAGCCTACCACTAATGATGGAGGGGGGGGGGACTTTGGCTAGGTTATGTATAGCAATACACATTTAACTTGTGAACATTTAATGGAACAATGCCCTGCTCCTTGCTGTCCAAACTGCATTTTCACATTTAGGCGAGCACTTTCTTGTGGGATGTGTTAATTTTCAGGACGATCGTATGTCTTGCTTTCCTAATGTCCCTCGACAAAATCTTTGGCAAGTCTTGATACCTTTTAATATTGATCACATTGTGTGCTTTATTTTTCTCGTTTACATCCTTGGTAATATTTAGTCCCGCTACATAGTCTGCTTTTTATTATTACCAATAGGTTATTACCAAAGTTTGCAATATTGCTGATAATTTGTAGTGTTGTGGCATGAATGGATGAAAGATTGTTCAGGTATTTTCTTGGTTACTTCAAGTTATTGTGACTTAAATGTGCATTTGGAAACATTCAGTGTTAGTATAATATTCATTGTTATTCAGGTATTCAGTGTTAGTTAGATATTCAGTATAAGAGAATAACCAAATTTGTCATTATCAATGTTAATAAAATTATGGTAGTGTAGCATTTGAGGCTGGACCTGTTGCGACCATGTTGCACCGGTAGACTTTGAAAGATACTTGTAGTAGGCAAGATCTCTCGATCTCTCGGCTACATGGGCTTCCCAGCCTGGTGCTTTAGTTTGGAAATTTCTTGCTTATAACCAAATCTGCATTTTCTTTGTGCTAGTCTAGCAATTAACTGAAAATAGCTTACCTTTACTTGTGTAATGGTAGTATTACCATTGATGCTGCTTTAATGTATAGTTTGTGGTTTAGTACTCTATTACTTGCTAACCATTTTCCTTTTTTGTTTTCCAGGAAGGAAGATTTAGCTCCTTACAAATTGGAAGGGTTCAGCAAATTCAATTTTGACAATGATTGAATTGAGGAAAAATCCACGAAACTAGCAAACGTCTAATGGGAAACGTGTTGGTGGGTTTAGATGGTGAAGATATTGTACCATAAATGACATTTTGAAATTAATGATGATAATCTTGTCTTTATATGGTTAGATCACTGACAACTGTTGATGTCGAACTAGGGCGAACTGAAATGTGCAAACAAATTAGAGGCTTCGTTTTATTGTATAGCAATACTGAACAATAATCTAATTTACAGATCTCGCTGAAGGACAGTCCTTGCTGTTGCAGATTATCATAATGTAAGTTAATCAACTTTATACTTGAAATTTAATTTAAAAACTTGTGTACAGTCTTGCAAAAGCATCCTATTTACGTACATCTTCCCACTACACCTACTTAGTGTAGTCCCACACATTTACATTAGTCACTTAATTTCCTGTGTTTACCCTAGCCTTGATCATTAAAACATTGGCTTTAATAATTTCTCTTCTGTGCTAGAGGTTTGTGGGTAGAAGGGCTGAAAGCCTACAACAGATTAATCCAGCTTCTGTAAGCTACTTATGGTTAAAATGCAGTGCTAGTCTGCCTACACAATACACTCGCCCTTCTCAGCATGGGTGACTGGTGGGGGTTTACATGTACGAGAGTATATTACCATGGAAAGTCAAATATTCTAAAATTGTCAATTTAGTATTGGAGTGCTGTTTCAATGCCAGGCTGTGGCCTAAATAAAGGGAAATAAATGGGAAAGATATAAAATTTATTTTTGCCGAGAGCATTGTAAGGAACAAGCACTATTGAAGCGAAAATGTAGTGTTCCTTTCTGGTCCTAAACCTTTGGATCTTGCCCAGAAAACCATACTAGTCTTGTGCTCAAGATATAAGTTAATCTACTGAGGCCTTTCCACATGTACACATGTATTTCTGACCTCTGGAGCTGTTGTGGCATGAACGGAATTCCATGCAGATCTTGATGATCGTGTGGCCAAAGCTCATGCAATAGTAAAAAGATTCTCCTGAAGGTTTTGTCTTTTAAAGATGTTATCAGATGGAAGTATCTAACACGTCTTGAGCACTTGTTTATATTTTGTGGAAAATGTTGTACCATGGCTGGAATAATGTAATCTTGACACTGGCTGTTAATATGTCATGGTACTGACAAACTCTGCCTTTTACTAATATTTAATATCTTCCATTTTGTTTTCCAGAAGGAAAGATTTGGCTCCTAACATGGAACTGTGATGCCCTTGATGGGGTTCTGAGAGTAGTTCTACTCCCAAAGGCCAGGCTTGACTTGAGATGTGAGTTTTTAGTAGATACACGACTGTAAATATGGCAATTTTAGTGATGATAACCTTGTCTTTATATGGTTAGATTACTGACTATTGTTGATGTCAACTAGGGCGGACTGAAATTGTATAAATGTATTTACTGTGATTTTATCATGTAGCAATGCTAACTGATAGATTTTTTAATTAACAGTTTCACTAGTGCTCGTCATGTTGGTACAGACAGCCATCGGACAAGATTCAGAGTTAAAATTGTAGAGGTCCAAGAGTTGCTATGCTGTCTGATACCAGTGTAGTCCTGGATATATTACGAGGAGAAATACTGGCAATTGGATAAAACATCAGAGCACCTACACTATCTGCTCTCACTTTTAAGCTGGAGGTAAGTACTGTACTTAGATTCTCTAAAATCTTAATTGTTTAGTTTCTTAATTGTTTGGTTTAGGTTAGTTTCAAATTGTGCTATTTTGTCTAAACATTTTTTATTTGAAAGCAGAGGCTGGTTTTAGCATTGCAGTGTTTAATTTATATACAGTATATACCTTGTTAATAATAAATTGCTCAACTGATGTGTGGAAAGTGATATAAAATATGCAAGTTAAATTTTTAAAACAAAGATCAGTCATGCATGTTTATGGTAGGTGAGGTTTAAATACTAGAAGCTCAGCTAAGACATGACATAAACTATTTGTATAAAAAGTTTTGACCAATTTGGGTAATTAAAAGATAAATAGCTTTAAAAATACAAATATTGCTTTTCTTCTATCACTGAATGGACTGCTTTAGTCTTCATAGCCTAAAAAAGCATATTACATAAATCTTTTTATATATAGGTTGTGCAATATATAGTCAATTATAAGCAGAATATAGTGAATGATTTGTAATTTTTGCTTTTCATAATTATTTATTCTGTAAAGTGATGATACAAAAAAATAATGAACAAATGATTAAAAATCAAGTGGGAATCTATCTGATACATAAATAAATGTAATAAATGTTTGGTTTATTATTTTTATTTAACTTTTTTTTTACCTTTCTCAGAATGTGTTGCTGTTGACAGTTGGCTCTCCATAAGTTTTGTAATCAGGTATGTACTTGTGTAATTAGTTGTACTAATTGTACAAAGTAGTTGTACCATTAAGTATCCACTGTTGCCCAAGAAATACCACTCGCCTCCACCATCACCACACTGCATCTTATTGCTGATAATTTGTTGTAGCATGAAAAGAATTCTATGCTTATCTTAATGTGAATAAAACATGCATAGTGGTATTTTGTCTTGAATGTTATTTTATAGACATGATCTAATGGCAATTTTTTTAATGTTGCTTTTGTACTGGTGTTTGTGACGAGTATCATACCAAGGCTTTTTACTTAGGCCAACACTTTATACTTCATTATCATATCAACATTTAATCTGGTTTTGGGCTTAACGTCCCTCCGGCCCGGTCCTCGACCAAGCCTGGTAGTGATGGTGCTGTAGACTGGACCAAAGTAAATTATTTTCACCTATTATGTGGATTTAATAATTAATCAAAACATGTTAGAAATTAATCTATTCATTCAATGATAACATTACTACAAAAATTACCTTTCCTCGTCTAAAGAGGCAGGATTCTTTGTTGAAAGTTCATCATTTAATGTTTGACAAGTCGTAGCACACCACGTGCAGATGCCTGTCTGCCGTGCATGAAAATGTTCAACATACAGCCGTGTCAATTTATGGACTGGCTGGTATGCTAAGGACAGCTAATGGACCAGGTTATAAAGAGGCCTATCCAGAGGGGGAAAAGTAATTGAAATGGTAATGTTGATCATGGTTTTAGTTCTGCTTTCGAGAGGAAAATGGCACATCCGATTTATACAGCTCATCGTGTAAACAATATGCGCATAATGATTTCTTGACTGTGAACCCTATAAATTGTTGTATAGTAGTACATGCTGTCAACAATTATGAGCTGAAGCGACAATGACTGAACCATGATCTATTGCACATGCAGACAACATCAATGCCAGAGGTGTGTGTGAATAGAAGACATGCTACATGGTGGCAATATCAGTGAGGAACCTTGTCTTTGTGGTTAGATTTGTGTTCAATCCACCCATCAACAAGGGTGGATTGAAATGGTGGAAACACGTTTGCATTGACAATTTTGTCCGATTGTAATACAAAAAGGTGGTTTCAATTAACATTTACTAGTGCTTCCATATTGGCGCTGAAAAAGGGCATCAGAAAAAATAAAAAATTTGAAGGAAGGATGTAGTGTGCCTCTGATGTCAGCTCATTGTAACACAATGGGAAGAAAAGCTGATGGGAGGATGTAGCATTAGTGCCTACAATGTTAGTTTATCATAATAGTAAATGGACAAAGAGGCAGTGCTCAAGACTTGGTGCCAGTCTCCCTGGTACCCCATCTAGTAAATTTTGTTGACTGAAAGATGATGAGCACTTATAAGCAGAGTCCTGAAGACACAATATCCCATAGCGTTCTGACTAAATCATATGTTATGAAAATATACTTAAATGGGACATGAGGTAACATTTTTTTTCCCCACTTTCAGGTGGGATGATATTCTTCAATGCCTTGGAAATCAGCAGTTAATGGTTTGTTATTTTTTTAGTTCTCATTAATGAATACACTATTTTGTAAAATGATGATACAAAAAAATAATAATGAACAAATGATTAAAAATCAATTGGGAATCTCTCTGATGCATAGAAAAATGCAATATATATTTATAATTTGGAATCTTTTTTCTGATTATTTTCTGTTTTTCCACAGATTATTCTACTATCTTGAGGTCATCTTGATATGATTTCGGGGCTTTAGTGTCCCCGCGGCCCGGTCCTCGACCAGGTCTCCACAACCAGGAAGCAGCCCGTGACAGCTGACTAACAAACTAGGTACCTATTTGACTGCTAGGTAACAGGGGCATAGGGTGAAAGAAACTTTGCCCATTGTTTCTTGCCGGCGCCTGGGATTGAACCCAGGACACAGGATCACAAGTCCAGTGTGCCGTCTGCTCGGCCGACCGGCTCCCCTACTCCCTACTATTGACACTCCCTGGATCAGGTTAGTTTTCTTGTGTAACCATTGTTGCCCAACTGCATTGCCTTTCCACTATATATTCAAATTTTAATTTTAATTTCTATCTTTAACCAAGTCCCTTTTGATTGGCTGTGTACAGAATTACTTTGATTAATTTTGCTTAAATAGTTTCAATATGATGATAAAAAACCTTCAGAGTCCTGAAGACAAAATGCATCCCATAGCGTTCTGATTATAGCAATACAGTAGTAAAAAAATTACTTGCACATTATACCATGTATAATAATTTTCTAATTTTCCAGGATGATGCACATCAGCTGCAGCAGTAAATGGTAAGTCGAATGGTCTTGTACTTGCAGTATATTTTAAGCATGGGCTAATATTGGCTTCAGTATATTGAATCATTTTGATCAATTTCTGTAAGCATCTAATAGATTATTAACATGATTTTTATTGAATGTTATGGTTGGTCACACCTGCTTCCTTGGCCTAGTGCCTTGTATCAAATTGGTTTGGCGTTCTGTCAGCCAACTGGTTCTGGGGCTTTGTAATCAACCCAGAAAACTTCCAGAATCATAGTACCACAATTACATTAGTTCTTGTGGCCTCCAATCTCTGGCACAAAAGTTCTGGCCTAGTTCTAGAGCCTAGTTAAAACTACTTGAATACCATTCCATGAAATACCATGAAATAAATGATTGAGCTTTTTATCTGATAATGCACTTTACCTATTACAAAATCATGAATAAAACTGAACGAAATTTCACCTTTACAGATTGCTGGACCATCAGCTGGACACCTGGTTGTTTCTCTGGGATGTAAGTAATTTCTCAAACAAAAATTGGTTGGAATGCATTTAATAATAAAAAAAAAGTACATAAAGCTGAGGGTGGAACTTTTTTACTGTATATACTTTTTTATAAATTTTTTGAATAATGATGATAATGTGATAGGGACATATGAAATAAATGATTAATTATCATTTTATAATCTGATGCATGTCTTAAAATTTTTGGATGCCTATTTAATGTTGGAAATTCTAAATATAAATTTTGTTCTTTACAGGTTGTGGATTGTGACTGTTGATGGCTGGTTGTTACTTAAGCGTCAGGTATGTAGTGCCCCACGTGGCTGTGATGTCTTTACCACGACCAGGAATGATGATAATATGATAGGGACATATGAATTAGATGATTAATTATCGTTGAAATCTGATAAATATATCGACATTGAGGATTGGATCTATGATGTCAAATATTATATCAATGTTCAACTCTCCTACAGATTGGTCCTGATATTTGGCACCTGACTTGGCAGCTTTATTCAAGTGAAGGCTTTTTGACATGATTAAAGAGGTATGTAATTTTCATGACCCAAGAGATTTAAATATTATGACAGTGCTGCAGGTTTGAACTTTGGTTACATAAATGTGCATAATTACACATAATTATAAAGTAATTTTAAAATTACTGGAGTGCAGGTAGTTTTAACTCTGGCAGGAACAAAATTCAATTAGCAGTTTTGTTTCCACTAAAATGGTTTCAAAGGCACGCTGTGCTTTCTTGTGATGGCTAAATAAAAACTTGAAAAATATCATTGTGTCTTGTACTACATCCAATCATATTGTATATAATACTATATACGATAAAAATATTGTATGTCCTAATAATATACAGCATTAACGCTCGCTTTTTACTCTGAGACTCGTAAAAATTCTTGATAAAATGTTATTTTAATTTATGGCAGATTAATGGTATTGGGTCATGCTTGATTCACTGACATATTCTAGACTGGCCATATTATTCAGGAATGTTTATTTTCAAGTATAGAATTTATAATTATTCAAAAACTTTTTATTTTCAGCCTGTGTGCTCCAGAAAGTACTCCCTCCCTCCAGAAAGGTCCCTCCACGAGTTGTCCTCAAGACTGGCCAGAGTCAAGACTCGACTTGTGAAAGCTTGGTCTGACACTTGTTCTGTTCAAAAGTAAAATAAAAAGTCCCTAATGTCATCCTTATGGTTTCCTACCCTTTGCTTCAAACTCTCGTTATCTTTTATTACCCACTTCCCCAATATTAGTACATAGATCCTTAAAAGTGTAAACCTCTTGTCAATTTATGTCTGGTAACAAACTGCGCGAGTCGTGTGTCCCTATTGGCCATACACGTTTAACTCATTTAATTGATCCTCTTACTGTTGTGCACATTCTTGTTGAATGTCCTGACTTCCAGGACGAGCGTGTCCTGCTTTCCGACCGTCCCTCTATAGAATTCTTGGTGAATCTGATACTTTTGATATCGTTCGCTTTATGCGTTTGTGTTCTCGTATTGTCATCCTTGGTGATATTTAGCGCCCTTCTGATTACTCCCACACATTTGGTGGTGCTTCGTTGCCTTCCTTTGATGATTACTTGTGGGACTGAGCACATTGCTCCAAATTTAGCCAAATCATTTACTCTAAAGGAGGGAATTGAGTACCATTTGTGAGTGCTTTTGAGCACCCTGAGGGCAGCAATTTTCCGAGAAAATCTAAAATCTAGTTTAATTCCAGGTGGTTATAAATAGCCATAAATATGTTGGAGGCACATAATTGGCTCAGGGACTGAACCCCCACAATTCATTTAGCTAAGCAAATTACAAAATTAAATATACGTAGTCATATCAACGACGTGTTCGAGATCGACCACAATTTATGGTTGTCCTGCACACCACCCCCTATCCGGAGCAATAGTAACATCTAGAAGTGTCCTAGCTCTTTATCATGCATTCGGAGGCCAACATTAGATGTACTGTTACCATCGTTAATAATTTTGTGACGCATGTTATGTCTTGGAGTTAAGAGCAATTAAGGGCGATACAGTCGCTTACAATTAATGTATAATTAATATACATTTATAAATTACTGTATTAAGTTTGGATCAGTGCAAGAAGTAAGGCAAATAGTTTTGTCTGAAGGGTAGAGCTATATTCCCACTCAAAATATAAGCCATCGCCCATTGTTAGGACAACTGCACTTCCAGCTGCACTCGTGGGGCTGTGTAGGGAACCATCAGTGTATATGATTTGAGAGAGAGAATGCTCTGTCCACAGAGCAGTCTCTCATTTTGCAATTGCATTTGTTTCTGCAATTTGTCAAGCCCTCCAAGCTTTCGTTCAGGCATCAAGGCAAGAAGAGGTGGAACATTATCCACTAAAGATCTGATGTATGCAAGGGTCCAAAATAATTCACACGATGTTTGAGGTCCACTACCACCTGTTAGATGGGTATTGGATCCACTACCACCTGTTAGATGGGTATTGGATCCACTACCACCTGATGGATGAGTATGGGGTCTACTACTGCCCACAGGATGGATACGGAGTTCACTACCGCCCACTGGATGGATATGGGACTCACTACTACCCACAGGATGGGTATGGGGTCCACTACCACCCACAGGATGAGTAAGGGGTCCTCTAATCACCTATAGGATGGGTATGGGGCCTACAACCGTCCATTTGATGGGTATAGGGTCGACTGCTATCCACAGGATTGGTATGGGGTCCACTACCGCACACAGGTGGGCGTATAGTGGATGCCATACCCAGCCTTTGGCCGGTAGTGAACCCCATACCTATCCTGTGGGTGGTAGTAGACCCCATACACATATTGTGCGCAGTACTGGACCCCATACCCATCCAACAGTTGGTAGTGGACTCCCATAAACATCGTACAGGTGGTAGTGGACCCCATAAACATCATACAGGTGGTAGTGGACCCAATACGCATCGAGTGACTGGTTGTGGACCCGACATTCATCCTGTGGATACACTGGCAGTGTTGAAAGCAGCAGTGTTCAGTTTCGAAAGTAAGAAAACTTGAGAGGCATCAACATCAGAGGCTGGTGTCACGTGACAGACTTGACGTGGTGAAAGGCAATGTGTTATTTTATTCCGTCGTTGTAGATGTTCTTTAGTTCCCCGAGACGGTCTTTGTCGCCTTTCTTACTGCCTGACTGTGGTCGCCTGAGGTAGAGGTTACGATAAGTCAAGTTATAAGCACATAAATCTCACATACAGCTCTAACAAGCAGAACTGAAAAGGGCGTGTAGGAAGGAGCTGGGAACCGCCAAACATCATATAAGACGCGTCTTGGAACTTATACTCCACGCTCGAGGAGCACCTTGGGAAGACGGAGACAGGAAGTCTTGTTTTGAAGAAGAGAGGAGCACTGAGGACCCGTCCGGCGTCACGTGGTGATGGTGGAGGACGCCACTTGTAAAGTAAATTTTATTCAGGAAAGTACATACATAGTTGATTTACAAACATAATGTTGGACTTATAGATAGAGCTAGTACATACAATACCTAAAGCCACTAGTACGCATAGCGTTTCGGGCAACAGCTGCCCTTTGTGCAGAATAATATTCTGAACAATGTCATCCTGGACGTTAGTAGTTGTTTTAAAGCATAAATGTTCACCCCTTCAATAAGTTAAAATCGCTTAATTTGTCATTAACGATCTATATCTTAAGTCAATTGAAAGCAAGTATTTAACATCATCCAGTGTTGTGTGAGGTACCTTGGATGTTGAGGGGTGTTAGTCTGTTATTGCATATATTGTATATTGTAGTTGTTGAGTGGCCATTAACAGTTGTTGACTGACAGACGATTATTACTTCACTGCCGATTCTATTGCAAATGTTGCTTTGTTGTACCTGTTGTTCTGTCGCAACATTTACAATAGAATGTTACATTTTGTTTGTGAATTAAATCTTGAAATTAACAACTTCAAACATTCAAGCTGGGGATTATTATTGGTTCATTAGAGACTCGTTCGTATTTGGGGAAGTGAAGGAGTGGTTGTTGGCCATTGTTAATTGCCACTTCATACTCGCAAAATGTTAACCAATGGGGGTGAAGTTTAGTGTGATTGTCAACCAATCAGCGGCCGGGTTTGGTTGGCTGCTGGATATAAAAGGAGGATGAGACAAAAAGCACTTCAGTGTTGTTTTACCTCACTTTTGGTATACAGTTCAGCTTCGTCTCTTGAAGGTGAGCTGTATGGTGAGGAGCCTCCCATCTCCCCCTCCTCCTCCTTTGCTGCGGCCCCCCCCTCTCCTGCTTTGTTGCGCCCCCCCCCCTCTCCTCCTCTTCCTTTGCTGCGCTCCCCCCTCTCCTCCTTTGTTGCGCGGCCCCCCCCTCTCCTCCTTTGTTGCGCCCCCCCCCCCCTCTCCTCCTTTGTTGCGCCCCCCCCCCTCTCCTCCTTTGTTGCGCCCCCCTCTCCTCGTGTACAATGGGGGTTACTAGTTTTTAAAACATTAAAATTAATTATTAAAAGATTTAGTTTTGCAAAGACTAAAATTTAGCAGGCTGGAGATTATTCTAGTAAATCTTTTTTTTTTTTTCTTAACGCTAAATATATAACTACCTGTCAAATATTAATCGTAAAATTGCCTTTTAGAGTAGCATTTCAGTTGAATCGTATCATTCATGTAGTTTGTGTAAAGTTCTCAGTTAACGGAATAATTCATGACAATAACACCTGAACAATGGTTAACTACCGGTTCGTAGTGGTGCAATTGTCAGCAGCACTGGCAGTCAGTAGTTTGAAATACATGTGCATTAGACTTCGAATATGGTCACCCTGCTGGACTAACATGGGTTTACTAAATGGGAGAAGTTTTGCATGAAATTCTAGACTAAAAAATTTTAATTTGAAAATTTGGATGTAGTTTTATTCATTAGTTAATCAAAATTTGAAATGACTGATGCACCAATATTATGTATTGAGCTCGTTCCATCTCCAGGTTTTATGTGAACTAAAATTTTTACATTAGTAATATCATTTACTTGGTTGAAGGTGCTTTTCTACTCTTGACTAAAATAGTGCCACAAATGGTCTGGCAAAATAGTAAGTCAGCCTTGAGTTTCAGATTACTGAAACCTAACTTGCTTTAGTGTGTTGCCACCTGCTAAAGGGCAGTGACCTGCATTTTTTCAGAAGCCCTGGAGCAAGAGTATGGATGATTGGGAAAATAGTTTCTTAACTCTCGTGCTGTGTTCCCTTATTGCTGACTAATTCTTGCAATTTTTTTTTCTTGTCTTGCTCAAGTTAATTAAGACTTTGTTTCACTAGTCTCTTAAGCTAGAAGTTTTCATCTGATGCTGCTGACAGTTTCATTCCATCTGAGTAGTTAACAGATGGAATACATTAGGATATGATGAGGGGAAATGCCATAGTTTTGAATGTAGATATTATAGAGCCCAGCAGGCTTGGGAATCTGACCGTTTAGAGGCAGGGACCAATCAACTGGTGTACAAAGAGCCAAGGCTCAAGCCCCATAAGCACAAGTAGGCGAGTACACCAGAAATGGGAATGGAAAATTAATCATTAAAATTTGATCAAACCATTCTTGTCTATGGGGCATGAGGAGGGGGTTAGTTCCTGCAGATATGTAATAACTAATTCTACTACAAGGGAACTGAACATTTTGCAGCATAGCATCTGTGGCACAATGCTCATAATTCCTAAGATATCCTGAGGATGGGTTTGAGACGGGGGGAGAAGTGCATAAATTGTGGTGCCCACCTAATTTGTAGTACATGCATGCACGAGAAGCTAAGACAGTCCTTCACCTTTATGGAAACTGCATTCTTACTAATGTTTCCCAGTTTAAGGAAAAAGCCATCTCATAGTTGTGCCCCCTTGATATGTCAGACATCAGATTCACAGAACTAACTCATCATTTTGCTCTTGTATAGAAATCTCCAAGTATTCCAGAGTGTTTCTCCTTTTGATAATTACTGTCAGGATGCCAATACAGCAAAAGTATTAACTAGTTTTGATAGTGTAACGATGGCAAAAATATCAGTCCATTATGTGCCCAGTTAATGTGGCAGCATCCATTAGGGATGGGTCTAAATTAGGAAGTGCCCATTGTATGAACTTAAACATTTAATACTTTAATTTTATTATATGCAATTAGTAATACATAAAATACATGTTTCTAAAGTAAACACTCTGGCCCCAAGATGACCAGAAGACAAAGACTTCAATCCGTCCTGGACCATTATAAAGTAGATTGTAATAAGAGGGGGGAGGCATTAAGGAAGACGAGAAGGTACAATTGGGATGGGTGTAATAATGGGTTATTCTTACAAGAGAAAAAACAGCTGATGTTGGATCACATTTATTTGAACATTTGGGTATGTAGTGTTTAAAGGGAAGAGTCATGGCAACAAAGCTAGGACTATGCTTCATGGTGTATCAGAGCTGATTTGACAAGACTGTGTCTGAAGATTAGAGGCAGGAAAAATTGTTTTAGAAGTCCAATCAATAGGATGATTAGCATCCCTAACATAACAGAAGAGAGCATTGTTTGTCTGCATGTAGACTTGACACATCTGTTGTTTTTACGTGTCATTTAGTGTCAGGCCAGTTTCCCCAAAGTATTGGAGATCACAAGACTAACAGGAAATAGTTAGACACCAGGAACAGTAGTGTGAACCAGATTACTACAAAGTGTTAGTTTGTCTTAAAGGCAAGCTTTGTATCAAGAGGACGAAGGGTAGATATGAAGGTAAGGCAGAGCACGATGGTAAGTGTTTGAAACAGGTTTGGGATGAACAATTTTGATAACTTGAGAATATTTTAGTTGGTAAAATGTAAGAGATAACAAAGGCGATTGAGATTTGCAAATAAAAGGAAATTTCAGAATCGAGAAATAGAGGGTCACTGATGCATAGGGAGAGACACGAACACTGTCCTAATAGAAGGAGGAGGGTAAAAAAAAAAAAAAGCAGTGATGCAACATATCACTATGCATGGGTTTGCAGTAGACAAAGAAACTAGACACAGCTGTGAACATGAATGCCATGGAAGGGTGGGGGGGGAGAATTGGATTCCCATTCTACTTTGTCTCCTATCAATTACATTGTTGAGAGAGGGGAGGAAAGGCTGGAAACGACCAAGGTCATGAGGCCATAAAGCAAAAATTTAAACATGGCGAAACCAGAGAGGGGGACGAGTATCAATAGTGGGGAAAAAGGATACTTTGAAACCGTTCTTCCCAATATTGATACTCGTCCCCCTTTCTCTAGCTTTGCTATGTTTACATTTTTGCTTTATGGCCTCATGACCTTAGTCGCTTCCAGGCTTTCCTCCCCTCTCAACAATTTGGCGCCTATCAATTTCAAAGTAGAATAGGAATCTAATTCCCGCCTTCCTTTTCTAGACGTTCATGTTCACAGCTGTGTCCGGTTTCTCTATCTCTGTCTACTGCAAACCCATGCATAGTGGTATGTACATTCACTTCCTTTCCTACCATCCTCCTGTTAAGACAGTGTTCTTGTTTCTCTCCATCAGTAACTGTTTCTTGACTCTGAAATTTCCTTTATCTCTCTTGCCTTGGTTACCCCTTACATTTTATCAACTGTGCTATTCTCAAGCTAAACAAAAAATTTTCATCCCAAACCTGTTTCCAACACCATAACCACAGTGCTCTTCATATCTACCCTTCGTCCTCTTGATACAAAGCTTGCCTTTCAACAAACTAACACTTCATAGTAATCTGGTTCACACTACTGCTGCTGGTGTCTACTCTATTTCCTGTTTGTCTTGTGATCTCCAATACTTTGGGGAAACTGGCCGTACACTAAATGACAGACTTAAGGAACACAAGGCATGTCAAGTCTGCATGCAGACACAAACAATGCTCTCTTCTGTCATGTTAGGGATTCTAATCATCCTATTGATTAGTCTTCTAAAAGCTTAACTACACAGTAATCACACTAATGTGACTGTATCAATGAGAAAATCTGCAGGAGCTGTGGAGAGGGTTCAAACCTATGCAGTGGGTGTACACACGCCCTAGTGACTAGACCACAACATGGTATAAGGATTGCAACCTGGAGTTCTACTGAACACACAAGTATTTCCTGAGGCTTCTGCTGAAGCCAGAACAGAATTTTTGCACAATACCCCCCCTCCCCTCCTTCCATGCACTTGGGCTATCATCCAGGAATGTTCTACTTCAGAAACTTTTTTCAATACACAGAGGTAGAATATTCCTAGATGATAGCCTGAATGCATGGGGGGGGGGGGGATGGATTGTGTGAAAATCCTGTTCCAGCTTCAGCAGAAGCCTCAGGAAATCCTTGTGTGTTCAGTAGAACTCCAGGTTGCAATCCTTATACCATGTTGTGGTGTAGTCACTAGGGCGTGTGTACACCCACCGCATAGTTTCGAACCTTCTTCACAGCTTCTACGAATTTTCTCAATCTCTCCTGCCTCTACTCTTCAGACACAGTCTTGTCAATTCGGCTCCGATACACCATGAACCCTAGTCCTGAATTTGTTGCTGTTGACTCTTCCCTTTCATGGTACATACCCAAATGCTCTAACCTTCCTAACAAATGTGACCCGACATAGGCCTACCCTCTTTCTTACATCCCATTATTACACCCATCCCATTCTCGCCTTTCTTCCATTCTAAGAACCTTCTCTTACCTGCTCTTTACCTCCCTCTTGCCTTCCTTAATGCCCGTGCCTCCCTCACTCCCATCACAATCGACTTTATAATGCTGGATGGTCCGAAATGTCTCCATCTTCTAGTGGCGTGTTGTTTGGTTGGGACTTTTTGCACTAGGGCCTAAACTTTAAATCGCTACTTATTTTTGGATAGTGTTCGTTGTTTTTCTGCAAACTCTACAATTTTTTCATCGATTGCCAGTCCCTTTCTTTTTCTAACAGAATTGATGTACTTTCTGGCAATATTACCACTATCCGATTTCTCGCCCCAGTGTGCAAGTTCTTCAGTAGTTTGAGGCTCCCAGAAGGGGTCGATATCCAGCACCTCCCAGTGAGAGAATACAAGCTGCGGCATTGCTTCTCCAGATGTCTGAAAATGTAAAGAAAAGATCACATTTTAAGCTAACTTCTCTAGTAGAGGAAGGGAAGAATGGAAAAGATTTAATTGCAAGAATTAATGCATGTCATGACAAAGTAATAAAGTACTCACAGATTTACGGAGCTCGTTAGCAAAATTCATGCTCTCGACCACTGGGAGATAAGCGGTGATGTTCCAGGATGTTGAACCCTCTGTTATGTCTCCATCAACGATTCGTCCTTGCCTTTTGCCAATCACACTGTACATCTTGCCCACTACTTCTGATGTCACATTAATCACACACGAGTACATGGCACAAACAAGCCTTTGACATTGGTGCTCAAATGCTTTTCTTAGTGTATCTTTAGAAAGGGATATTATCTGCCCAGATGATATACCAGACGTCTGAAACTGATCTTCTCCACTCTCAGGTTCTCTTGAGGGTGCTAAACTCCAGTCTTCAATAATAAAGCACACACCCATCATTGGCTCTTCACAAAGTGGACCAGCTGCAGTGGCTATCTGAAATCCAGTCACAAAATTTGTGTCGTAAGCAGCTAAAGGGGAATCAAATAAGACTGCTTTTTCCCAAACTGATGGTCGACAATATGTTTGGATACGATTTAATAAAATATTAGGTCCACAATCATTGGGTCCAAAACTCCATATTTCATTAACTGCATTTTCCCATTCTGCACCAGCATCTCTGAATGCTTTATCTAGAGACGTCTTAAACTCCTTTATTGCTCTGAAAGCTTCCACTTTCAATTTTTGTCTATTTTCAAGAGCTTCTCCAAGAGCACTTAATTGAATCGCAGGTTTTTCTTCTAGCTCCAATGAGCTATCACCCACTGTATTTGCTACACTGTATGTATTCTTTCTATCGGTGGCACTGGCCACAGTAACCAATTTTAATAGTTCCTCATTTTGTTCAAGAAGCTTAGTAACAGCATGAGGTAACGATACAGCTCTACATCGTAGTTTTCCTAGTCGACCGTTCACTTCTACTACACCCAAGGGGTCAGAATTATCCACCTGCAACAGAAATGAGTGTTACATAAGCAAACATATGAAATTTACTTTTGTAAAGTCCAAATATTAGGATTAGTTTTTCATTGTCAAAATTTTTTTAAGTGAGAAAATCCACTAGGACTATAGGTGGGTGCAAACCTATGACCCCTGGCACTGCCAGTCGTGTATCCTACCACTAACCGCCGACTTGTAAAGGTCATACAACTGACTTTTACAAGTTGGCAGTGGTCTAGTGGTAGAGTACGAGATTGGCAATGCCAGGGTCGTAGGTTCGCGCCCACAGTCCCAGTAAATTTTCTCATTGATATACTGTACATCACGTTAATGTGATTTCTGTGCGATTCTTTCTAAACATAATACAGTACAGGTACAGTATTTTTATATATATAAAAAGCATCCTCCTTTGACAATAATAAAAGCTTTCTTCCAATGTTAAACAAAGCCAAATCAAGCTAATAAGTGACACTAGATGAACTCGAAGCGAGTAAACATGCGAAGTTGTTTACTACTGAACTTGTTACAGTATACGAAATAAGTAATGGGTTTTACTTTCCAGTATCTGTTTGAAGATTTTCAAAATACTACATTGTGCTCAAGTCAGATTACCAACCTTCCTGATATTGATATTTTCTCCTTCAATGGCTTCATTAAGTCTGTCAACTGTTGGCGAGGGAATAATAGTTTCTCTGAAAGGCACAATTGGGTCTGAAGTGCGTATAGGGACACCTGCATATCGTTCCTGAAGGTCATCAACACAGCGCTGCAGGTGCACTTCCCCAGCAGTAAGGATGACGTATTCTCCACTGTGGTGCAGCATAACCTACAAGTCACCAAAAACTTATTTCCATATCCCCTAGATTTCATAATATAACATAAACATAAGTAAATTAAGAGTTTGTACAGCACAAGTTTAAATACAGTAAAATAATTCCCAATGGGTCATAACAAATCCTCAAGTATTCTTTAAATATTGCATATTTCATCATATTTATGGCAAGACTATTCTACTTGTCATATGTGGAAAAACATTGTCAGAAAAGGGTATTACTTATGACTAAGCTGGTAGCAACTAGAGATCAGTCACTCAATACAATAAAACACAAAGACATCATTTCTGGAGCACTTTTACACCGAGGTCATGGTGCCATATTATATATGTCTGTCTATTATGTCTGTCTATTCTGTGTGTGTGTGTGTTTATTCTGCTTGTGTCTTGTCTATTCAGTCTGTGTGTATTCTGTCTATTATGTCTGTATGTGTATTCTGTCTGTATGTGTGTGTTTATGTCTGCCTGTCTGTGTCAATTCTATGTATTTGTATATTCTGTGTCTGTATCTATTCTGTCTGTCTATTATGTATGTCCGTGTGTGTGTATTCTGTATGTATGTGTCTTATGCAGGTCTGTAAGTGTGTGTATTCTGACTGTATTCTATCTGTCTATTCTGTGTAAATTGTGTCTGTCTATTCTGTCTGTTTCTGCCTATGTGTCTGTCTCTCCTGACCACCAAGCCCACCTTAAAGGGCACTATCTGCTTGTAGCCTTTTGAGATGAGATAATATACAGCTTAATGTTAGATAAATTTTCTGTAAGGAACACATACTGTACCTGAACACATGGGTCAGCTTGGTTAAGCAACTTTAGACCAGAACGTAGCTTAGGCAAATCTCTAGGGTCATGTGGCTCAACTGCAACTCTTAAAATAGGTGTAGCACTCATAGTGAGCTCTGTGAAGGGCGGCATGGCTAGTGTAGAAGACAGCGTGGCACTCTTGATGACACAGTCTTCCAACCCAGTGATGCCCACCACTGTGCCAGCACCAGCACTCTCTAGAAGTTCAAATTCTCGCCCCAGCAACAAATAAATTCCAGAAATCTGTAAATAACAAACACACCTTCATACATTTCACACACTCACACAAGTAGCGACTTAGTCTAGATCACAACTTTTGCAGAACAGCTTCGTAACTAGTGTTAGATCGTATCTCTGATATGTATATACAGCACTTAACATTACAATCTTGTACTGTATTGTGATTAACCTTTGAACTGCGTGGCTTTAATGCAGTCTGGCACTTGCAATAAGAAAATAAACAAATGGGTCATCTGTTGACATGAATTTATTTTTTTAAATAATATTTAGAGGCATTCTAAAGTAATATGCAACTACAGTATGTTTTTGGACAGAATGATGCAGCATGACACTGGCACCACAGAATTTACTAACATCCCTGCAGAGTCATTACAGGTACAGTACTAGGCAGGCACTACAAACATTACATCCAGTCAAGATCACTAACAGAGGTCAGTTCTTACAATACAAAAACCTTCGGAATCCCCTTGGCATCACATGTGACCAACACCGATGAATGCACTTACTGATTATGGGGCTGGCAGCCAGGTAGGCCAACCACCAGCAGGAGGCAGCATCATGACCTCTTGGACACTTGAACCCTGTGTCACTCAAAATACTCCCTGATGTTATGACACTTTGAAGGATATGGGGACAAGGAGCTGGGATATGAAGATAGGGTGAAGGAATGCTGCCCAATCACTTGGACCATCAGGGATCAAACACCAGCTTGCAAGCTGTGAGAGACCGTCACTTTACACACCGATCCAAGTGGATGGGCAACGTTTCTTCACCCTGGACCAGTGTTACAGTTTAATGGGATGAGGGGACAGTGGTGAAACCTTGTCTAACCACTGAGACAGTTGGGGATTGAACACTGACCCTGCACAAAGCAAGGCAGTCCTACCAAATATTCCAAGTGGATGGACATTCTTAACTATTAGTGTTTACCTTTTGTTAATATCTGTTTCACCTTTTATGCGATGTACATACTGTATTGCACCTGTTTATAATAATACAGTACATTATTAAAGTTTTAAAAAATTATTGCAACATTCTACCCATTGTCCCTCTCCATTGGGGCTACCGAGCTCTAGGCAGATCACAGTGTTTTCAAATAGCATCGAAAGGTGATCAGGTCCTACTTTAATGAGCCTTAAACTGTTCTTGCCACCCTCAAGAAATAGACCAATGGTGCTCCTGTTGCCTGTGGCAGATTTAATGTGCCTTGTAATATTTAAAATTCCTTAAGATTTTGTGTGGAGATCATTCCACACTAGAGATCTCGGGCAATTTTTGCCATAATGGAAAAAAAATCCTGAAAGCCTTTGTTACCTTCCTGGGCATTATTACAAAAAAAATGACACCATGTTGGGTGCATCGCCAGCCATTTACTGTTACCTATAAGGGGAACCAATGACGCTATGCAAAATTTCCAGAACTTTTATGGACCAGGAATATTTTTGTGATAATGATAAATCTATTACAATTAGTTTACTTGAAAAATAAATCTCAGAATTTGATGTTTTAACATTTCTTCATCTCATAAAGGCCTAACTAAAATGAATTATTTTTATCCCAGACATCAGAAATAAAATGTTTTGTTATAGAATGGAAAAAGAATATAAAATATTGTGTGTGTACACCAGGAAATTTACCTATAAATAAGTGCACAGTTCAAGAGTTAAAGAACCAGTCATAAGTGTGATAAATTGAATTCCCCGAGGCGGCCACACCAACAACTGTTGGCTTATGTCTAATTTCCCAGTCAAAAACCAAAAACTAATCAATCAGGGAGCCGGTCGGCTGAGTGGACAGCACGCTGGACTTGTGATCCTGTGGTCCTGGGTTCGATCCCAGGTGCCGGCGAGAAACAATGGGCAGAGTTTCTTGCACCCTATGCCCCCGTTACCTAGCAGTAAAATAGGTACCTGGGTGTTAGTCAGCTGTCACGGGCTGCTTCCTGGGGGTGGAGGCCTGGTCAAGGACCAGGCCGCGGGGACACTAAAACCCCGAAATCATCTCAAGATAACCTCAAGATAGGGCCCAGCTGCTGTCTATCAAAAGGATTGGGGGGGGGGGGGCATAATCATCATTGCCGAGTACTGGACTGGGCAAACTATGACCCCGAATATGGGGGGTAAACGAATGACCTATTGGTTAATATGGTATTTTTTTTACTACATGAATCCAGTTATTCAACACAAAAACTACACTGTAAACTAACAAGAAACAATCAAGACTCGGTTTCTTCCTACAGCTCGCAAAACAAAACTGACCAATTTAGTGGTGATAATTTTGATGATATTGATGATTACAATTTTGGTGTTTATCCCCTCAAATGTGGCTTTCTCAACATATTGTACTAGCATACCGAGTAACAATTGTCAAACTATATAACTACAAATTTGCAAGCATTAACACTATCACAATGAGAAAATTTTGAAAACCAAGAGGATTATTCTGCCTCGTACAATAGAAATTAAGTACATACAGTACAACTAGAAAAAATTGGTAAGTACTGTACTAAAATACCATAAGCAATTAGTATAAATAATACACAAAATTACAACATACCTTACAGGTGTGAATGTGCTTGTAATCCTTCAATTTTTCCTCCAATTCCTCCTCACCGAGTGCTGTCAGAGCCAAGGCTGAGCTCGGATCATGTTTTGGACTCAAGACATAAACCTGTGAAGAACAAATTTATTGTCTGGCAAAAATAAAAACAATCATAGAAAATTCTGTTTGAGACTAGAGTAGGTAAAAGAAGCTAACTGGAAGTTACATCGTAATGGAATTTGAATTTGATTTGTGCTAATGTGATTCTCCCCTCCCTAGAGATGGAGATGGTTATGTGCCCAACAAACACCAAAAGTTTTAAACTACAGGTATTAATGATACAATATGCAAAGGAAAAATGAACACCAAGAGCATAACTACAGGTACTGTAAGAGTTCAGCAATTATAATTCCGGTAACTGAATCTGCAGGTAATTCAAATAAATTTGAGTTGTTGTTTTGACGGCTCAATTCTAATACAAATTTGAGTTAGTGATTTCTGGCAATTGAAAACTCAATTTTTTTTTAATTTTGGACTTTCCAGGTAAAAATTCGACTAACTCACATGGAAGTAGTGCCCATATAATCCAGATTGTCAAATGCAGACAGACAGTATCTGACTACAAACATGTAAAAAACCAGGATGAACAACATGCTAAGCTACACCCTATTAATGACTATTTATCAAGAAGTGTTTAAACATCATTATATTAATATCATTCATTTGAAACCTTAAGTAGAAAACTTAAAATAAGCTGCACTCTTACCTTTTGGCCTGCTCTAAGAGTTCCACTGAAGACACGTGCAAAGGCAATAAACACTTCCTCATTCATCCACTTCTGTCTCTCATCCTCTACTCTCTGTTTTTCTTCCACTATTTGCTCTTGCTGCTTCTTTAACCCTTCAATTTCTTTTTCTGTTAAAGATCGTTCGTGGCTTGATTCGACATTTGTTGTCACCATGGAGGCTTCTTTCCTACGACGTAGTTCCTCCCTGCGCTTTGCTATTTCATTTTCTGACAACATGCCCTTTCTGACAATTTCAGGTGCTACCTTCACTCCAGAAGATCTGTCTTCAGGAAGATGTCTTCTTTGCACTCCAAACATCTTTGACACATAAACAATAAGTGGCTCATTTTCATCACTGCTACATTTCATAAATGCTTCTTTAAGTTTCTGTGTTTCTGGTGGGAGTGAATCGAACCTTTGGGTTGCAGAACACATGAGCTTTGTTGCACGGTCTTCCGACATATTTGCTGCACTAGGTAAATGCTCAACAACCATTTCTAAAACAGCTGGAGCCAAAGGAAGCCAACCACTACACAGAAAATTCAACTTTAATCTCATATCTGCTGACCTCAGTACACTTAATGGAATCTTCACTCCTAAAGCTTCTGCCAATTTCTCCGTTTCATCCTTGTCCTTTCTAATCATGATTGTATCATAAACTTTATAAAGGTTTTCCAGGATGAGAGTAACAAAAAGAGGATTCTTTCGTTTATCTCGAGCACCCGACACAATTTTTTTCTGTCCCCCTTTTGTAGTTATATAGTAATCACCCCACAATGTCTTATTTAAGACAGCCTTGTTCATTCCTAATTTAGCAGAAAACTGATTAGCAAAATGGTGAATTCTGCAATAGAAAAAACCTAAATTAGAGAACGAACACTAGCACAATAACATAATTTAAATCGCTTAAAATAGCAGCAAAACGAGTTTAGCAACGGGTACAAAGAGGTAACTACTTCCCTTTTGTCATATACATATGCTGCATTATTTATACACAAGTTACTTGTATACACATTACTTATATATATATACATCAGTGAAGAACCACATGCAATTTTATGAAAGGGTACAGATGCAATGTACATTTGTCATCAATGGTTTAAAAAGAAGTCTAGTATGAAACAGAACACATCGTCCGTTTCATACTAGACATCTAGTATGATATAACAGCCACAGGAAGATCACCGGTGCACCCAATACCTACCCACAGGTAAACAACTAAAGATAGAAAATTGGTGGAATATAGCTAATGTAAGCTTTGCATTTACATAAAGCCTCACATTTAACAGTACTGTACCTCGATTACTGTTGAAAACACTCACCCTTGAGATCTTAAATATATAGATGATCTGCCTAACTGGGACATTCTAACATGTTCAAACTTCTAAATGATGTTTTAGCATATAGCTTTTTCCATTCTATAAGAATGACCTTGGGATACTGCCTATAAGGCTAGGAAGCCTGGTCAGAGACCGGGCCACGGGGACATTGGTTCTCGGAACCACTCCCGGGGTAACATCACAGTACTACATCACATGCTACTTTATAAGCTATACTAGTAGTACTGAATGCAAGTGTCTCGCCATACCTTTATTGTTTCCTTACATGGTACTTCTTTACTGGTTGAAATTTTGAATATTTAAAAAAAAATGCAAGTAGATATTTATGGAAGACAGTAAAGGCATATTTAAGATTCCTAGATGCTAAAACATTAATGATTGCAAACTTATAACAAAGGAAACTTACCCAAAACCCCAGCCATCATAGGCACTTGCAAAGACTACATTTCCTAGCTCAGGTGAGAAATACAGCTCAGAGTCATCTACTGTGTCAATACCCCAGTCAGCAAATATGAGCTGAGCTTCGGGGATTTCAGACTCGGATGCTCTTCTTTCCCTCTCTGATAACTTTCTCTCCCGCTCAGCTTGTCGCCGTCTTTCAATTTCTTCAGATGTTTTTCCCAAGACAGCCGTGTTATACAGCTCACCCATGTATGCATTAACCTTGAGAAAAAATTATTAATTTCTTTCATGGGTAAGATAGTAACATTGCAAAATGTTACCACTGCATACTATATGCAATCATTATTCTTTACAACATAATCATAATACCATTTTATCATCCTCCCATCTACCGTGCACCCTCTACAATAGAAAAATATATCAATTTAAAAAATTATGCAAATTGGGAGATTTTCTAAAGTGTTTAAGAAAATGATGTGGGAATGGCAACACAAGCCACTGGCCAAAAAAAAATAAGGGTGCACTAGGACATATAATGCAACTATAGTTATTTAGCTATCAATATGGCAATATGCATCTCAGTATGGAGTAGAAGATGCAAAGGATATTGATAATGCTGTTTTACCAGCAAAATTATGCCAGTAAAAAGCATGTTCTTTAGTTTTATGTTAATTAATGGTAAACTTGGGTACAGTAATATTATACCAAGAAAGACGCACCTGTTCCAAGACCTGTGCAATATGGTAGTAACATTCAATTGGACTCATCTTTGTCTCTAGTATTAATCGGTCAATTTTGTTGAGGAGAAGAACTGGGCGAATATTCTCTACCCATGCTTGATGCAGCACTACCTGCGGGAGAACAATAAGAATGTCAAAATAAGTACGTTCTATTCACCAATACAACACAAAATATTACAAGTTACCTGTAAAATTTGAACTAAAAGTAATTGTTAAGTTTACATTATCAATCATTAAACTACTGTAACCAGTTAGGCTTATCTGTATGATAGGTCAATACTGATTAGCAGTGATGTGTAGCCAGTCATATTTTACCCAAGAACGCTTTTGTTTCTCACCAAATTGTACAAGTCTTATCGAGATTTACACCTATTCTTCCTTTCATTCAGCCTATGGTGAAAAATAATTTAATATAACTTTTATTAATAACATACCTTAGTTTGAGCACAGACTCCTTCTACAACATCCACAACAATTATGGTACCATCGCACAGACGGACAGCTGTCGAGACTTCAGATGAAAAATCTACATGTCCTGGAGAGTCAATTAGATTGATGATGTATTCACCATCTGGTCTACTGTATGCCAGTGATACGCAAGAGCTCTTCATGGTGATTCCTCGCTCCATTTCATCCTTGCGACTATGGGAGAATTTCTTTGTGATTTACATACATTACCATTAAATAAGTGAAATGGGTTTGATGAAATTGTTAATGCCAACTCGATGCACAATTTTAAGTGTAAATATGAGGTAATGAAGAGAATTATTAGACTAATTGTTAGACTAACACACTATTAAGACTAACAAAGGTTTGCAAGGTGGGAATAGAAAACTGATCCTTGACTTTACAATCATATCTAGGTAAGTATAGATGCATTAAATGCAATAATATTAAAAGCTACTACAAAGACTGCTGGTGTAGTACAAGCTGGGCCAGGCTTGGGGAGTAGAAGAATTCCCAGAACCCCATCCAGGTACAAAATAGGATCTACAATGCAACATCAGGAAATTTGTAAACATGATGATATCAAGAAAACTGAACTACATTAAACTACAGGCCAATAATCCAGTCATGCACTTCATGCAAAACACAGGAGAAAATAATCAAGATGATTTTGTAAAGTTTAGCTATGATGAACTTGGTAACTGGATAACAAATACCATTTGACACCATTCCCCATCAGGTTTATTTTACGCAAGATGGCAAACTAGGCTGGAATTAATGGTTAGCGCTTGATTGGGTAAGGGTGTAACCTGGCAGACAGGGAACTTTCATAAGAGAAGAGCTTGGGCTGAAGAGAAGCAACATGTAGATTCTCCCAGGGCTATGCCCTGGGATTTTTGCTGCTCTTGTCGTACAAATCAAAGCTTACAGGTAAGGGCAAGGATTGAGAAGGATTGCAGACTATTGAAAAGCTAAAACTGAAGGACTGGACAGACAGTGGAAGACATTTCATAAGTTTGAAAGTCAATTCTAGCAAATAAAAATGGGAAAAAGGGTAAATTATTGTTAATTATTAAGAAACTTCTGCATTTGTCTTTCTTATACTGCATACTTCTCTCTACTTCAGCTTTTGACATTTCTGTACCCTACACCATACAGCACTAACACGCAGATTAACCTGATACATTTTCATTCTTCCTCTCATCCTAGACCTGTATACTGTATTGTGGCTAGTTAATTGGTGGTTGCATGATACATTAAATGGTATCTGTTAAACCATGACATTTTTCAAGCAGCCCAGTTATATGTATGTATATACAGTAATGCTATAGTCTGCCCTTATTCCTTTCTGTAATATCAAAGGATCTAGGCCCTATGTAGTCTTCCAATTTTCCTTTTCCATAATGTTGGCTTTACTTCACTCTTTGAAAATGTTCCCACAAACCAAATCATCCATCAACCTATCCAAATGTCTAGACCATTACAGCTCGACTTAACCAATTTCAGTTTCCCATACTCCTTATCTTTAGCCTCTAACACCCTCAACCTTTCACACAGTGAATTTTAGATTTAAGTAGGTTCTCAACACAATATCCATTAACAAAAAATATATACTGTACTACTGAATTGTGCATATTAAGTAGGGATTACCTATCCATGTATCTAATGCGTCCAGCTTGGCGTTGACTGATAAGACCATTGGAAGCCACCATGGCATCTGCTAGTGAAGTCTTCCCATGGTCAACATGAGCCATTATACACAAGTTACGAATAGTATGCGGGTTGCTCAAGAACGTGGGCAACCGGCCGGGGGTGCCACCCCCTCCAACCACCATCCTGCCTGAAAAGGAATATAATTAAGCATCAATTCAACTACACCGATTCAATAGCAATCGTGTGGAAAATGACTATACTGTACTGGGAGAATAAGCACTTTAAAACAATAGTTTTTTTAAACAATATTTGGAAAAGGCCTAACAAACTATCTTCCCTAATGGCCTAGTTCAAACATCAACAGGCAGCAGTGTAGAAAAACAATGCCTTACACAGACTATTAGCAGTAGACTAAACCAACTCAACTGTACAGTTGCACTATATCTAGTAATAATACTGTACACTAAAAACACTGAAAAGTGGTAACCCTTAGTGGTAATGGTTTCATGAGAGGTCATGCAACATCCAGCTGATCCTACACAGACATCAGGGGCTTTCAACATTGTGCAACATAGGTGGCAAGGCATGCAAGAAATGGCTGTTACAAGAGACGACAGCAAGGCATACACGATGGGTGTCAAGGGCGTGCACGCACACACACACACACCTCTGCAACACACCAATAAAGTTCCTAACTGACAAAAAAATGAGGGCAGTAATCAGACGCAATGTATCGGTCTGGAGAAATGTCATGAGTGGAGTACCACAGTGTTCAGGTCTTGCAATGTTCATTGTCTACATAAATGATCTACCAGATGGAATACAGAATTATATGAACATGTTTGTGATGATGCTAAGATAATAGGGAAGATAAGAAACTTAGATGATTGTCATTTATCAATCATCATCAATTGGTAAATCAATTTACCAATCATTCAAGATGACCTGGACAAAATAAGTGTATGGAGCACCACTTGGCAAATGGAATATAATGTGAATAAATGCCATGTTATGGAATGTCGAATAGGAGAACATTGACCCCACACAACCTATAAATTATGTGAAAAATCTTTAAAGAATTCATATAAAGAGAGATCTAGGAGTGGTTCTAGATAGAAAACCATCACCTGAGGACCACATAAAGAACATTGTGTAAGGAATCTATGGTACACTTTCTAACTTCAAATTGCTTTTAAATACATGGATGACAAAATACTAAAGAAATTGTTCATAACTTTTGTTAGACCAAAGCTGGAATATACAGCAGTTGTATTGTGCCTATATCTTAAGAAGCACATGAACAAACTGGAAAAGATTCAGACATGCAACTAAATAGCTCCCAGAACTGAAGGACAAGAGCTAGGAGGAGAGGTTAGGGGCATTAAATATACCAAACTAGAAGATATAAGAAAAAGATGTTAGTACTCAAATTGTATGACTGTTGGGATATACCCAATCACAGACGAATAGGCCTACGTCACTCCCTACGGAGCTGGTACTGGCCACTCTGGAGGCAGGTTCAGTATCTCACGAGACCAGAGTTAGGTAGGACCTCGGCAGGCCATATTTATACCTTGTGGCCTTTACCCAATAAACTACTGAAGTAAACTACTGTGTATTCTCTAAAACCAAGCAAGCAATGTACATCTTAAGGCAACGAATAAACGATATGATCACTATGAACAAAATAGTTACGGGAATCTATAAAATTGACAGGGAAGAATTTCAGAGACCTGGAACTTAAAAGAACAAGAAGTCATACATTTAAACTAACTAAACAAAGGTGGCAAAAAAACATAAAAAAAATCACTTTTGCAAATAAAGTGGTAGACGACTCGAATAAGTTAGGAGAGAAGGTGTTGGAGGCCAAAACCGTCAGAAGTACACACAAACAAATCACATTATCGTGACATATCAATAAGAAAATCCACAGGATCCGTGTGGACTTTCTCACCGTCAGTAGTTTCAAAGTTTTATAAGTGTGACTTAAGTCAATAAGTACTTTATAAGTACTTAAGTGTGACTACACTTAGGCACCAGCTGCACATGAGCAGCAACACTCGCCGTGTGTAAACATGAATACGCAGTTAATGACAAGACCAAAAAGGAACCTTCAGACACTTTTCACATATTTAAAAGCAGGAGTGAGGGTGTCTTGGGGGAAAGAAATGGCTACACACCCACAAGTCCCACCGGGAACCACTCTGGAGTCACAGTCAGGCGCCAGTCACCAGCTGGCCACACACTCTACAGTCACTCACTTGTAAATAGACCCAGAACACTACGAGCACACATTGACGATTAAATAATGAAATATAAACTTATTTAATGAGCATAAACAATCTTTCCTATTACCTATCAAAGAGCATACCATTTTATATATTATATAGCATGTTTTTGGCATTTTTATTTATTTATTTTGCAAATGTTAGTCTTCAGTATCCCTACAGTAGAGGAAAGATAGTCAGACGTGAAGACATTTGTATTGTAAGTATGATGCAACACTCTGCCAGCGACCACACCCACTCACACTCAACAGATGGCGCCACTGCCGACCCCCTCAGCCCGTTTTCTTTGCCATTGTTCACACTAAACGGCATCACGAGATTTACCCGAATTTACCTGAGGGCAACCAACTGCCTAGTGGTCTCGACGGGAGCAAAAAGCCGGCGGCTTGTTAAACATCCACCCATTCATCCTGATCAATTTTTTAACTGGATTTTGAACTGAAGCAGTGTTTTGGAACTTACTGCAGCCTTAAAAGTGGATCACTGCCTAAATAACCTAACCTAATACGTACTAGGGCTAAATAAGCAGTACTATACTTAATATACACCATCTTAGGTCTGATTTTGTATTATGTGCCATATACTAGGCCTATCAAAGGTTTATATATATTAGGCCTATCAAAGGTTTATATATACTAGGCCTATCAAAGTTTTAGGTCTGGTCCTCTACAAAATCAATAGTGAAAAATTATTTTTTTTGCTTGAGGGGTTTACAACAGTCAATATTTGTACATTCTACCTCTGAACCGATTATGTGGCTCTGTAATCCTTTACACCACCTCCCACGGGATGGTTATCGGGTGCATAATAAAGAAAATGAATTATAATAATTGATTAGCGGATTCAGGGACTGTAGTTATGTTACTTATTAATCCTCCAATGTTTATGTATTGTTTTTATGTAGGCACGTGTTGTGTATACCTCAGCTTGTTAATAAAAAAGTACTCTTGCCTCTCTTGTACTTTATCTTGCCAAAAGTACTACTACTACTAATAATAATAATAATAATAATAGTGGCTTTAGGCATTGTATGTACTAGCTCTATCTATAAATCTATCAATTTTTGTAAAATCTCTTGTATGTATGTACCTTACCTGAATAAACATTTATTTGTTATTTATTTTTAATAATGTTATTTTTATTGTTATTAGTTCTGTCCTGATCTGGTATCGAACCCGGGATAAACCCACTGTTAATTTCTTGTTAATGTTTCTTCTTTATGTTATGTGCAGTTTGCTTGTAGGTTTTAGTTCATGTTCATATAAATAACATGAATTATAAGGTTAACAACATGCCCGACCTGCCCGAAACGCTGCGCGTACTAGTGGCTTTACAAGAGTGTAATTATTGTACTATGTATTCTCACAAACCCAATGTACCTTCTTGTATATAAATAAATAAGGCGAGGTGTTGCGCTGAAGTAAGCGGTCCCCCCCAACCCCCCCCCCCCCCCAACCCCGACGAGCTTCCATGTCATTGGTAGAAACTCTTTGTTGACATTCACAACAGCCAATCACAGGAAGGGATCAGCTAAAGGCTCCACCAACTTAATAAATCATCTTTATTAAGAACACTAGCCTTGCTTATGACATTCTGTTTCAACTTTCACTACCAAAAAAGTGAAGTGTTAATTATTTAAAAGCAATAATAAAGTGATAATTAAATATTGCAGGCTAAAATAAGTGTTACAGAAAAATGGCCTGGCTACCTAACTTGTGACGTCATAAGAGGGGGTTGCCTCACACAAATAACATTGATGATATTATTCTCCGCCCTCTTATTGGACTACATTATTCAGTTAGATGAAAATAATGTAAATAATGTTAGATGAAAATTTCTGTTAGAAACAAAACAAAGAGGTTGTTGGACAAAAGGACGTATTTCTTAGTTTGCATTTCCCAAACTATTTCTTAGTTGAGTGTTGGCATTCCGTGTTACAGCCAATCACAGGAAGGTATTTAATTGCTAAAGCCCCGCCTCCTCATGAGCGTTTAGTACACCGATATAGCTTATGGTTTTCTGTTTCATCTCTTGTTTATCCACACTATTATTTTTTCGACTACTATGATAATTAAAAATATGAGATATAAAAGTTGTTACACAAAATGGCTAAATTCTGGCATTAAAAAGAGCTCATAGTGGATTTGTAATAGAGTTTTATGAGAGTGGTGTTATACCATTTTTATATATTGTCTTCTGATGTGGGAGTAGACTTCTATATTCGTGTACGTCCCCAGGCCTGGTCGACGACCGGGCCGCGGGGACGCTAAGCCCCGGAAGCACCTCAAGGTAACCTCCCTCTTGTTGGGCCTTGACAAATTACTCCCATTAACTGACCCTTGTTTCCGCAGCTTTGGTATTTATATCACGTTAACAAGACTCGTAGCTTTGTACTCACTACAAGAATTCCATACCAAGGAAAATGTTATAAATATGTTATATTCGTCCTGCGAGGAACTGTAGTGTTTAACCTTGTGATGGAATGTGGCCTTGTGGAGTGAACCTAGCTTCCGGCGCCGGACTGACATTGGCGACTGTTCCTTCACCCGTGGTGACCAGAATTACCGTGAGCACACATTCAATTCCCAGCGATTCTGAAACGTTAATTAATTCTGAAACGTTAATTCCTATCGATTCTGAAACGTTAATTCCTATCGATTCCGAAACGTTAATTCCCATCGATTCTGAAACGCTAATTCCCATCGATTCTGAAACTGTTAATTCCTAGCGATTCTGAAACGATTAAATCGTTTCAGGATTTAATCCATTGCCTTGCATATAATATTCTATGCTGAACTGAATGAAGAAATTTAAACCCCATACTTAGGCAAATGGACTAGAAGGCAAATGGGGAGGGGGCGGGACCTTCGACAAGCCGACGGCTACCTGTCCTCGTCGAGGCCACTATTGTTAATATTAGATACTCTGTTAAAACTTTTGGGGTGAGGTGATAAAACAGAGAACACGAATCAATGGTCACATTGTGTGTTTTTATCTTCTTGCTACTGTGTTGGTTCGGGGTCATGAAGTGGGTAGTATGTAATTATGTGTTAATTGGCTGTTAATTGGCTTAAACAATTACATAATTACATTACAAATAGGACACACCTATAGGTGGTTGCCAGAGTGCAGCTATAACTTTATGGTAGGCCTATACTAGTCGCTGCGTTACCTGATTTTACTTTCGTTGCTTAGGTGCTTTAATTATGGCATAGGCTTTCGTTTCCACACATTGCCTATTTATTGCCTGTCTCTACCTCCTCTTCACAATCGACTTGAGAATGGTCCAGGACGGACCGAAACGTCGTCGTCCCTTCAACTTCTAGTGTGTGGTCTGGTCAACATTTCCACGCAGGAATACGAACTTGGAAGACTGTCGGAGGACGGAATTCCCTGCCTGGCGTCAGGCGTTGCTGCCGCTGCTGCCAGCAGACACGCTACAACACTCTCCTCCCAATAGAGCGTCGCATTTTGACAAATACTCTACCTAAGGCCAAAAATTGTCGTACTAGAAAATGGTAGCGGCTCGCGATATTGTCATACTGTCCCGTTTTCTGTTTTGGGTCCTCTGGTGGATTAGGATAAGGGCACTTTAGTAAGACAGTTTCTTGACGTTGGGGAACCTTAGGAGGACGGGCGGCAACACACTACGACATGGACACCAGAAGGCTCTACCGTCACTATTATCTCTCTGACACACGCTCACCCACTTGGGGTGGACGATAGAACGACGGTCTCGCTTCATGCAGGTCGGCGTTCAATTCCCGACCGTCCAAGTGGTTGCATGGGCACTATTCCTTCCCCCCGTCCCATCCCAAATCCTTATCCTGACCCCTTCCAAGTGCTATATAGTCCTACAGGCTTGACGCTTTCTCCTGATAGTTCTCTTCCCTTCTCCTAATATTTACTATCACATTGTAAACGTTAACACAAAATTTATTTTATTTCTATTGCAATTCTTTAAACACCTATCCAACCGTTTCCTGAAGGTCTGTATAAATTTGCAGCTACAAATCACGGGGCAATTTAATACAGCGGTGAACGACTCTGAGCGAAACAGAAACCTTGCCCTACATTTATATTCTCTCCTTCCCTCAGTTTCACGCCATTGTTCCTTATAGACTGGCGAAGGCGATTTACCTCTCAAATTGTTCTTCTTGTTCATCTTAAAAGCTTTAGTTGGGTCTTTACCTGCTGTACGGTTCTTTTGTGTTAGTTAATGCTTAATACTTTTCGGATTTTTATTGCAGTCTACAAAAGCCTATCTTGCGTTCATACTCCCCGGGGGAAAAGGAGAGAGAGAGAGAGAGTGTGTGTGTGTGAGTAAGGTTCCGGCCAGATACCAGCAGGTGTGGAGTACCGAGGTGGTAAAGGCTAGGAGGTGCTCCCAAAGGTACCATGAATGGTAGCACATGTTACCAGTCACCTGTGCACCACCAGAACACATCTAGCCTAGCGTACACCGTGACGTCTGCACCGCTGCCCTCTGCTTTCTCTCTTATAACATTATCATCATTATTCTCTTACGCCTTTTATTATTATTATTATTATTATTATTATTATTATTATTATTATTATTATTATTCACACAAGGAAATCACAATAGCGTGATATATCTATGAAAAATAATATGATATTCGTCATGTTATTGTGATAAATTAAACTACAAGGATAAACTATTCAACACTGGTGGGACGCGAACAAGGGGACACAGGTGGAAACCGAGTACCCACATGAGCCACAGAGACGTTAGAAGGAACTTTTTCAGTGTCAGAGTAGTTAACGGATGGAATGCATTAGGCTGTGATGTGGTGGAGGCTGACTCCATACACAGTTTCAAATATATGATAGAACCCAGATGTTATGTTATGTAACATGATAGAACCCAGTAGGCTCAGGAACCTGTACACCAGTTGATTGACAGTTGAGAGGCGGGACCAAAGAGCCAGAGCTCAACCCCCACAAGCACAAATAGGTGAGTACAGACACCTCAGCATCATACGTATAAGACAATAACAATCGCTACCTGGAAATCCCACCTTGCGCTCTGACGCTTGACGAACTCCCTAATACTGGTTCAATTTGTAGGGCGACTGTTAACGAGGGGATAGAAGAAAGTGGTTATCAGACAGGCGCACGAAGATAAACACAGGTATATACAGACACTGATAATTATCAGTTAAAATGGGTTATTTCCTGTTCCAATCTTTCACCATTTTCTATCAATTTAAGTTCAGTGTTAAAAATAACATAATACTGGATCACAAAACTAATTTTTTTCTTGGACGAGGGACGCCCGTCCAAGATGTTAAATAAATGATGATAAATGAATGTTATTTTTCAAGACAATATAACCAGATTAATGTTTATTTCTTCAACACATCCTGTTTCTCACATTCCCCTCATTTCTCCTCATTTTCCTCGTATACATTCTTTCCCATAGTCCTGCCCTTCCGTGTCAGCAGCCAGAGATATATACACCGAAAGGTATACCCGGCGCGTCAGTGTATATAAACTGAGAAGTTATTGATTGATAAGCTTTAAGCCCAACAGAAAGAAACTGTTCCTGTTCCCCTGTTACTGAGTTCTAATGTCCCTGCTTGTCCCGCTCCTTATTCACCTCTTGCTCTGTTATTCTTATCCTTACCTGTCTGCAGCTCCTCCGTTCCTGTATTCCGGCCGTCCTTGAAGAGTCGTGGTGATATATATCAGTCAGCGGAGTGTGGATATGAGTAGTGTTGTGAGTGCGGTGTCGCCAGTGGTTCCATGGTGTCGCTCAAGGTGTGACTTCTCTCTAACTAACTTCCCATCATCGAGAACTTGTAAACATTGATATTTCCATGCGCGAACTGTGTTAACTATATTACTTGTTCGTAAGTGAATGTGGCTACGAGACGGCAACCTCGTAATACTTGTTAAGATCGTGGAATGAAAGGGGGGTAGAAATAGCCTAAGCTACTCTATCCCTTTGAGATGTATTTTTTCTTGTCTCAATAAACATACTTGAACTTGAACTTGTGGAATGAATTCTCTTAAGTGTGCGACGATAAAAAACAAAGCCAATAACAAATAATATTTGCCCATAATTAAGGACATAAGATCTACAGGTTGTTCGGCCATGTATACAATATTGGAACCTTCCCTCATGCGTGATCTTTGAAGGCAACGGACCCAGTTAATGCGCTGTGGAGAATATATATTTTACTCAAAAAAGAAATTTATATTCTTGTGTGTGTGTTGTGTAGGCACAAGCCACGGTTACAAGATCATATGGTGGAGGTGGAGGTCAGGTCAGGGAGCAAGTACAAGCCAGGGTCACAAGGTCATGGTGCTGGTGGAGGTCAGGTACAAGCCAGGGTCACAAGGTCATGGTGCTGGTGGAGGTCAGGTACAAGCCAGGGTCACAAGGTGGGGGGGGGGAACAAGACAGAGGTCATAGTCCAAGTATAACTGAGAAAATCTTTTATTTGTAACTCGACTTGATGTAGTTGCCGGGGAAACTTATGTACGACTTGTTCTTCCTGGACGACCATTCCTCCTGGACGACCATATCTACTGAACGACCATTCCATCTGGACGACCATTCCTCTTGAACGACCATTCCTCTTGAACGACCATTCCTTCTGGACGACAATTCCATCTAGACGACCATTCCTTCTGAACGATCATTCTTAGAGTCGTTGGCTTGGAGGCTGAGGACAGTACCTTACCATATATATAACATGTGTAGGGTCGTGACACGTCAGGCTCCCCAGTGACATGTCAAGTTCAAGTATGTGTATTGAGACAAGGAAAAAATACATCTCAAAGGGATAGAGTAGCTTAGGCTATTTCTACCCCCCTCTACTTCAAGTCCCTCAAGGGGCGCACAAATTCAGCGAGTACAAATATACAAATCGTGTCGCGTGCACCGCCCGCCCCTCTGACCCACAAACACCCGTACACATATATTGAGATAAATGGAAAGAAGGCAGCGACCCATCTTTCCAAACTCCTCCTCACAATGGGCAAAAATTGGCCTCGTATCTAACACCTTAGTGTAACATGAACTTTCAGGCTTTCTGATATTACATCTCCTCTATTATTTATTATTTTATTATATAATAGAAGAAAGTATACAACGAATTCAGAAAGTACAGATTTCGGTGATTAAAATAATAAATTCTTGCAAGGCCGTTGACACAAGAGTTACAGTAATCCAGTGCTCCACTATATAGCACATTATTTGACGGTTACATAAATTGACATTACGAAGAGTTTGGTCTCTCACCTTGCGAGGACAGAAGCAGAACACAAGTAGGATGCTTAGTGGCCTTGGTGAGGGAGTGGAAGGTCCAGAGCTGCTCAGTGAGGCGAGAAGACATTTCCTCTACTGCTGCAGATGTGGGCGGGACCCACACACCTCGCGCGCTACACCACACCCACAAGATTTTGTTTTCAATTTCACCTCTTAGCGAAACAAAACAATTATAGATCAGAGGGATTTATCTCTTTATGCTGATTTGTACTAACCGTCTTTGTGTCTATTGGCTTTGTACTCCGTCCATATAACAAACTTATATGCACACTTGTCGTACTTGTTAGTAGTGAGCGGCTGAGTGATCAATTGACTTTCTACTGCTAGTCGAGTTTAGTGCCTTGGCCTCCAGACTTGGAAATTATATTAGTCAGTGCTGTGAACTTCCTGACTGTCATAGAAAGCGGTTACAGGGCAGACTCAAGGTTAAATACAATTTTAACGCTTCGTGAAGGCCAAATTGGCTTATTAGGTCGTAATTCAAAAACAGAGTTTGGTACTTTGAACCAACGGGAAGAATTCCTGGCTTAAGAAGAGGGAAATGATTGAAAACGTTATAATAGTCTAGAAGTTCTCCAGAGCGGCAACAGTCATTCTACTCAGACCGGTGGACACTTTCCTAGCTCACACTCGTACGATCCAACCATATCTATCAAACTGATAAGTTCACACCCTGCTTATACTGCCGAGTTTATTCTTTTGATGTAATAAAGACCCCCGTTGACAGGTGGTGATTGTGGTAGGGTGCGTGGCGCTGGTGGTGAGCGCTGCTCCCGACCCCACACCAACCCCGGATACAATCCCCTCACCACTCCCTAAATCCCAGCCAAGTCCCAAGCCTTCATCAGAGGTAAATCCAAGTCCAGTTTCACAGTTAAGCTCCGTCGGCACACGTCCCAGGTCTGACACGTCCCAGACCTCTCCTGATCAGGAACGCAAGACTAGCCCAAGGCTAGTTGAACCCAAGGATCAACAAGGCACTACAAGGTTCCCTTTCCGAAGGCGACAATCAGTAAGATTCAGAGCAACACGTTTTGATCCGCTGCTTCCGCTGGAGAACACCAGAGAGAAAGGAACTCGCTTTCCTTCCTCGCCGCCAGAAGGTAGTGTGACATTTATATTTCACTACAATCTCCAGCCTATTAAAATTTATTCAAAACAATAATAAAACTTTATAAATTATAGATATTTTGCATTAATAAGCATAATTGACACGAAATTATGCGGGATTGGGTGGTTATAGATAGGAGCTGCCTCGTATGGGCCAATAGGCCTTCTGCAGTTACCTTTGTTCTTATGTTCTTATGAAATTTATTTCAGATGATGACAGGGTCAGAGCGCCCTTCTCAGACATTGTTGAGGAGGACAGCTCATCGTTGAGGCGCGACATCAAGCGCATGCGCGTGGGCTTCACACCAATGCTGCGACCAGTTCTGCTTGACCCGGAAGGCAATCGTAAGGAACAATACAAATTAAATGATAAATATTGCATTCTAAAAATATTGTATCTGTCCTTAAGGCCTTGCACACAGTTTAAAAGTTATGTGTTAAGTTTTGTAATCTTAAATGACTTTGAATAACTTTGAATGACCTAAATGACTGTTGCCTTTTCATCTTCGACGTGGGTATCCTCTTTTACAGGAAATCACTAAAGCCGTTATAATTATTATATAATCTTAAATTATATATGATGTAAAGGAGAAGCATTGCCAGACATGTGGCTTTATTGAACAAATAATTACAGTACAGTTACATCCTGCAATAAACACAAGCCATATAATATACATTACTTATAAAGACTAACAGTGCTTAAGATATATGATATAATAAGCAAACTACACATGACTAACGCTAGAACAAATAGAAATTAAACTAGGAGTGAACATAAACTAACCTGTACACAGGCACGACACAGCTGATCTCACAACAATACAGTCAAGCGAGCATCCAAACGAAACAGTCAAGCGAGCATCCATCCGTGTACAATAATATAATAACACTTTTACTACAATATATATTATATATATTGTGTTTTCTTGACAGCTACAGCGAGGCCCTTCACTTCGCGGGGTCTGGAGGTACCAGTTGGTACGGGTATACTTGTCAACAGCGGCACTGGATCTCCGGGACCTTTTGGCGTCCCTCAAACTCCATTCATTAACTCCCCGGGTCGACCGTTCAACCCTTCAGGACAGCCATTTGATGGTTCCTCAGGTCGACCGTTCAACCCTTCAGGACAGCCATTTGATGGTTCCTCAGGTCGACCGTTCAACAACCCTTCAGGACAGCCATTTGATAGTTCCTCAGGTCGACCCTCTGGGAGTGACACTCCACAATTCAATTTTCCTGGTGTCCCTCCTCCACCCTCCTTCCCGTCCTTGCCTCCTAAAGGATTTCAAAGCCCTACTTTTCCTGGTTCTCTTTTCCCAACACCTGCTGCCCAAAATCCACCCAAGCCGCCGACGCCTAATGCACTCTTGCCGACCACACCAAGGCCATTCACCCCAAGTCCAGCACCCCTTAGTCCCTTTAACCCAAGTTTCTTTACTCCAAGACCAACATCCCCAAGTCCCTTTAACCCAAGTTTCTCTACTCCAAGACCAACATCCCCAAGTCCCTTTAACCCAAGTTTCTTTACTCCAAGACCAACATCCCCAAGTCCCTTTAATCCAAGACCGACAACTCCAAGTCCCCTTTCCCCATTTCCGACAACCCCAAATCGCTTTAATCCAAGACCGACAACACTAATTCCCTTTAATCCAGTTATAACAAGTACATTTACCCCAAATTCCTTTATTCTAAGACCAACAGTCCCAAATTCGTCTGCTCCGGGATTTTCAGTTCCCAACATTTTATTCCAAGGAAATACTACGCCAAGACCTTCTTTCCCGGTACCTAACACCCCAAATTTCTTTTTCCCGGTATTTAATACACAAAATCCAACATTCCCAGTATTAAATAACCCGAATTTTCTTTTCCCGGTATCAACAACCGCCACTCCTCCTTCTCAGAGACCATTTAACTTCCAAACAATATCCCCTCCCTCCACAACGCCAAACATTCTTTTCCAAGGGCAAAATGGCCAAACTCCCTTGTTCCCTACACCCACGACGCCTCAGAGTCCTTCACCACACACACCATCCACTCCGAACTCTGTGTTCCCGAGACCACTAGGGTCTCCTGCAGTGTTCTCCAGACCAGCAGGTTCTTCTCCAACCTTTCCCAGACCATCGTTACCTTCAGCGCAGCCTCAGAACCCGGGAAATTCAGCTCAAGGATTTTTCAATCCAAATTTAAGACCCAATGTTAACCAGTTCCCGCTCCTTGGTCAGCAGAATCCCAACACTTTCCCGGGTTTTCCTAATTTCAATGGAATTCCAGGGATAAGCTCTTTCTTCCCTCAAAATCAAGTGTTCTCCCAATTCCCTAATCAAAATTTCCAATTCCCAAACGGCGGTAATGACCCTAGCTTTCTCAACAATCAGTTCGGCCCGCAGAACTTCCCTAGCGCCTCGGACTTAAGACCGACTCGTGACAACACTACACACGACGATAGTGACATGGCCGCAAGTGCTTCCTCGTCTGCGGTGGTCGTGCTCCAGCCTCCTCCTCATCATCATGAATTCAGACACGTAAGAAACATTTATTTTCGTCACTAAAAAAAAAAATCTACACAATACAAATACCTAAAGCAAGATGTCTTAACTTTTAATGAAGCATATTTTATGAAAGAGTAACAAAATTTCCAAAATATCGAAAGATATTCATATCCAATAATTACTGACACAACATGTGATTTTGAGCATAATAGAAGGAGCTTGAGGTCTATGGGCAAACTCCTGTCTTTTCTGTACTCACGACTTCCTTCTTGGTGCCAGGAACCTTACTCTTATGGGTACTCGGTGGACAGTCCAGAGAGTGGAGATATCAAGAGTGCTCAGGAGGAGAAGGACTCTCAGGGTGTAGTGAGAGGCAGCTACAGCCTCGTACAACCAGATGGTCGCGTCAGAGTGGTGTCCTATGTTGCTGATGCTCTCCATGGCTTCAGAGCTGATGTTAAGTACCTGCCAGCGTAGCGCCTGGGTCGACAGGGAGTGGTGTGTGTGTGTGAGAGAGCCAGACAGAGAGAGTAAAGCAACTTGGGAAGTCGAAGCCTCAACCACTCGATCAGACCTACCTGCCCGTGGTACCTATTCCATGGGTTCTTCATAAAAAATCTCTCAAGTTATGGCTACTGTTATCAATGTCCTACGAACAGTAGCAAACAAGTTTAATTATTAAATTAAATTCTAGCGACTTCTCATTGAACCTCTCACTGGACTTGGTAAAATATGGTGTAACTTATCAATACCTCTCCGAGGACTACGTGCAATAAATAATATGCTCTATGTATATACACATTAAATAAAAGTTGCATATTCATCTATATAATTTTTATTACACAATCTCCCATTCTCTTTCACAAGGCATTATGAGGAGTAGCTAATAGTCACTAATGTCATCAACGTATACTTGAATTTGCCTAAATTATCTGAAGTTACCTGAGGACCACTAATACTAGTGGCTTCAACTAAAACAGGAAGACGGCGGCTTGTCTAAGTTCCCCACATTTGCCCTGATAACCTTTTCCAGTTGTGATTTAAAACCTAATAATTTTTTGGGGGGGCATTTACGGCTTAGGCGGGTAGGCGGTTCCATGGGTTTATAACCATATGAGTAAGTTTAGTTCATTTATTATGCACCCCATACCCATCCCGTGGGCGGTAGTGGAAAGGTTTACAGAGGCACATAATGGGCTCAGGGACTGAACCCCACAATTCATTTAGCTAAGCAAGTTACAATGAAAAAGCATTTCCTGTTCTCAAAACCAACATTATTTGTGGCTTGTTGAGGCTGAAGGACACATCTGCCCGAAACGCTGCGCGTACTAGTGGCTTTACAAGATTGTAAATACTATGCTATGTATTCTCACAAACCCAATGTACCTTCTTGTATATAAATAATTAAATAAATAAATAAATAAATAAATAAATTTTAGTTGAAGCACCGTAGCCTCGCCTCCCCCCCCCCCCCCGCCATCTCAGCAGCGCGGAGAAATCTACATATTCTTTTTGTAATCAATAAATTACCTGAATAAAAATTTGAATTTGAATATACGTCAATACACGTGGTTTAGCGGTCCACCGGACACCGTTCGCGATCTGGGTTAGATTCCCGGTCGAAACAGAAACAATCTAGTAGTTTCTTTCATCCTATGAGTCTGTTCACCAAGCAGTAAATAGAAATTTGTTAGTTTGCTGTTAAATCTAAAACGTGTATAAATACACTCTGGCTTCCTGTCTCCCAAAGACAATGAATTATTAGTAATTAATTGCCACGTCTCAGGTATAAACTCTCCCAGTCAATATATTGTTATTATAACACGCTGCTCGATGTCAGTTATCTTGTCTGCTATAAAAACAAGTATAAAAAAATCATTACTTGCTATCGACAGCAATTTAATTTATTTTCCAAATTAAGTGACCGTTAGTCTCTGCTTTATTTGTTCCCCAAATACCACTAACATTCGTTAACATATTCTCACCTCGAATCTGCATTTATCACATAATAAAATATGTCTTGAAGGTGAAATTGAATAAGAAAAACAATATTATATGAATGGCAATCAAATTTCCCCAAATCCCCCCAAATGAAAACAAACATCTCCAATAATAACCGGCGAGGGAACCAAATTAGGTTGTGATTGGTGGAGGGGCGCGGCGGCTGGGCGGGACGGCGGCCGCCACAACACTGGGTGTAAACAGTCGCTGGGTGAGTTGCTTCATGTGTGTGTGTAGGGCCGCCCTGCCTCTCTTATTATCCTGGTGTTGCCGCGTGTAACACTCGTCGGGTGTTGCTCCTGGCAGGTGTAGAGGGTGTCGGTGAGTGGGTGTAGGGGGGCGAGGGGCAGGCGGAGGAGCCCCTACACACAGCTCGTATATTATTATCTCAAGCACCACGGCCGCCATCACTGTCTAGCTCTCTTGGTCACCGCTCCTCCTGGCGGCCACACTCTCCTGTCATGACGCTCCCTAATGGTGACACACACTCCCTGGCTGGTGACTCTGGTGATGACTTGGTGAGTACTATCCCCTCCCTCCCCCTTGGTGGTGATGACCTGGTGACCAGCTCCTGGCTGGGGGACGGCCTGGTGACCAGCTCCCTGGCTGGGGGACGGCCTGGTGACCAGCTCCTGGCTGGGGTACGGCCTGGTGACCAGCTCCTGGCTGGGGGACGGCCTGGTGACCAGCTCCCTGGCTGGGGGACGGCCTGGTGACCAGCTCCCTGGCTGGGGGACGGCCTGGTGACCAGCTCCTGGCTGGGGGACGGCCTGGTGACCAGCTCCTGGCTGGGGGACGGCCTGGTGACCAGCTCCTGGCTGGGGTACGGCCTGGTGACCAGCTCCTGGCTGGGGTACGGCCTGGTGACCAGCTCCCTGGCTGGGGGACGGCCTGGTGACCAGCTCCTGGCTGGGGTACGGCCTGGTGACCAGCTCCTGGCTGGGGTACGGCCTGGTGACCAGCTCCTGGCTGGGGTACGGCCTGGTGACCAGCTCCTGGCTGGGGTACGGCCTGGTGACCAGCTCCTGGCTGGGGTACGGCCTGGTGACCAGCTCCTGGCTGGGGTACGGCCTGGTGACCAGCTCCTGGCTGGGGTACGGCCTGGTGACCAGCTCCTGGCTGGGGTACGGCCTGGTGACCAGCTCCTGGCTGGGGTACGTCCTGGTGACCAGCTCCTGGCTGGGGTACGGCCTGGTGACCAGCTCCTGGCTGGGGTACGGCCTGGTGACCAGCTCCTGGCTGGGGTACGGCCTGGTGACCAGCTCCTGGCTGGGGGACGGCCTGGTGACCAGCTCCTGGCTGGGGGACGGCCTGGTGACCAGCTCCTGGCTGGGGGACGGCCTGGTGACCAGCTCCTGGCTGGGGGACGGCCTGGTGACCAGTTCCTGGCTGGGGGACGGCCTGGTGACCAGCTCCTGGCTGGGGGACGGCCTGGTGACCAGCTCCTGGCTGGGGGACGGCCTGGTGACCAGCTCCTGGCTGGGGGACGGCCTGGTGACCAGCTCCTGGCTGGGGGACGGCCTGGTGACCAGCTCCTGGCTGGGGGACGGCCTGGTGACTAGCTCCCTGGCTGGGGGACGGCCTGGTGACTAGCGCATGTAAATAATGTAAGACAAATCTCTTGAGAAATATAATTATGCTGAGGTACAAGTTCAAGATTCTTTGAACCCATTACATTAAAGTAAGACATTCTGTTGTACTCTTAAGAAACTACATGAAAAATTTTATGGGTTTCTGGTAAGCTGCTAAAATGGTTAAGTTGTGATGGTTGTCATAACCTAAGGGTTTCAGATAGTAATGGTCTCAAGTGTTTTTTTTTTTTTTTTACCACCTGGGAAGCATGGCATCATGTAAGCTGTTAGTGGAGAATAGCTGTCAAAGCCATAGCAATCTTTAGGATACACTGTACCCAAACAGTCCTAATCCTCAACTTCAGCAGTAGATTATCTATAATATAATAATAACCTCTTTAATTAATAAAGCAAACAAATTACATCTCTACATTCACTTGGAAGACTATAAAAAAAATTTAATGTTTCACTTGTAATAAAATTTGTTGCTGTACATTTAGTTTCCTAATTTAATATTATTGTTACTGTTGCTAATCACTTGCATATTTCAAAGTAAAAATTTTGTAACATATATTAAGGCAATTCTATTTTGACCTTTTATATTTTTCTTTTTTCCAGTCAGCATAAAGTCAAAAGGACACAGTAAGGCATATTTATTCAAATTTAGTCACTTAATTTAGTACGGTACTGAAATTTTAAAAATTACCATTCCATTATCCAATTGTATCAGTAAAAATATTTACAATAATTAGGTTTAATTCCCTTAAATTTTTTATAACGTACTATATTACCTTCTCTTATTAAGCCTTTAACTTCCTTATCTTTCAATTACTTTCCATTTTTGATAACCACACCACATCCCCATAGTATCCCGGTGTAGTTTTCCTTTTTGGATGTCTACCGTAATCTAATTTTCAAGTACGGTACAGTATAACAAGACTCTTGCCCCTCTGTCATGTTTCCTTGACAATAAGTTCACTTATGCTGTATCTCAAATGTCACATAATTGATTATTTCATTATTTGGACCAGGATGACACTTCAAGCGTAGGGAGTGGTTCTAATGCTGATAACTCGCGCAGTGGTACGCCAACACAACGAAGAAAAGGCCGTAGCAAGCGTGGACGTAAGAAGGTCCCTGCACCTCTCAAAATGGGATATAAATTTGTGTAGGTTTTATCAAATTTGATAGAATTGGTCAAATTTCAGCCTGGGAGTATGTTATAGTAAAGTAAAAAGTATAATATTAGGTTTGAATATGATGTATGTTGTGACTGGTGAAAAAGGCATAGTTTAAAATAGATCATTTTGCAATCTGTATATATTTTCTGCACTTTCAGTTTTTGTCAAGTGCACTTTTAACTCATTTTGTAGTTACACGTTAATATTATTACCATACAGTGGTACCTCGGAATGCGATTGTCCCTGTATGCGAGGTTTTCGGAAGGCGAGGTGTATTTACTCCAAAAATTTGTCTCAGAAGGCGAGGGTTACTTCGGGAGGCGAGTTTGGACGCGAGTTTGTTGATACGCGTACAGCCGACCTAGCGCGTTCGTCGCCCCTCCGCCCCTCAGTTTATTATTGTCTCGCGCTCAGTGACTACCCCCACATCAATTCTTCTCGCGGATTTTCAGTGTTTTGTTGGATTTTTGGTGATTTGTCTATACAATTTGTTATTATATATCTCACCATGGGTCCCAAGAAAGCCAGTGGTAAGGATAAAGGCCAGAAAGCTCCTGTGAGGATGACAATAGAGGAGAAACAAGAGATCATTCGGAAGCATGAGAACGGTACACGTGTTGTTGAACTTTGTAGGCAGTACAACAAAGCCACATCAACAATATGCACTATACTTAAGAAGAAAAATAAGATTATGGGTGCTAAAGTGGCAAAAGGAGTAAGAACATTAACGGCACAAAGACCACAAATACTTGAAGAAGTGGAAAAGTTGTTATTAATTTGGATACACGACAAGGAGTTGAGGGGTGATAGTGTTTCGGAGGCCATTATTTGTGAGAAAGCCAGGGTGTTGCACGAAGACCTTCTAAAGAATACCCCTGCAACGAGTGATGCAGATAAGAAAGAGTTTAAGGCAAGCAGGGGCTGGTTTGAAAAATTTAGAAAGAGAAGTGGTATCCATAGTGTTACAAGGCATGGGGTTATGTGATGTGATTATGGAAGGGGACTCCCCTTCCAAACAGTAACTCCTCTCCTCCTCCCCCCTCCTCACCATCTTCCATACGCCTACAGCACTCGACAGTAAGGTAAGTAATAACTGGAACACAGTTTTGTAGGTTTATTTAGATGAATTAGGTAAATTAGGTATAAAAATTTAGTTTGATGTGGGGTTTTTGGGGTAGTCAGGAACGGATTAATTCATTTCCCTTTATTTCTTATGGGGAAATTAACTTCGGAATGCGAGTTTTCGGAAGGCGAGGCGTCTCCAGGAACGGATTAAACTCTTATTCTGAGGTATGCCTGTATTCTACTTTGTTTCTCCAGCCACATGGGCTGGACGGTAGAGCGTCGGTCTAGCTTCATGCAGGTCGTCTTTCAATCCCCGACCGTCCAAGTGATTGGGCACCATCCCTTTCTCCCGTCTTGGTGGGAAAGCTTGGTGCTTTCTCCTGATAGATCTATTCCCCTTCTATAACAATGCATAAGCTATGCACTATATATACAAGACCTATTTTGCTATGCCTTGTTAGCCTAGCCTCTGGGATTGCCTTGTTAGCCTAGCCTCTGGGATTGCCTTGTTAGCCTAGCCTCTGGGATTGCCTTGTTAGCCTAGCCTCTGGGATTGCCTTGTTAGCCTAGCCTCTGGGATTGCCTTGTTAGCCTAGCCTCTGGGATTGCCTTGTTAGCCTAGCCTCTGGGATTGCCTTGTTAGCCTAGCCTCTGGGATTGCCTTGTTAGCCTAGCCTCTGGGATTGCCTTGTTAGCCTAGCCTCTGGGATTGCCTTGTTAGCCTAGCCTCTGGGATTGCCTTGTTAGCCTAGCCTCTGGGATTGCCTTGTTAGCCTAGCCCCTGGGATTGCCTTGTTAGCCTAGCCCCTGGGATTGCCTTGTTAGCCTAGCCCCTGGGATTGCCTTGTTAGCCTAGCCCCTGGGATTGCCTTGTTAGCCTAGCCCCTGGGATTGCCTTGTTAGCCTAGCCCCTGGGATTGCCTTGTTAGCCTAGCCCCTGGGATTGCCTTGTTAGCCTAGCCCCTGGGATTGCCTTGTTAGCCTAGCCCCTGGGATTGCCTTGTTAGCCTAGCCCTGGGATTGCCTTGTTAGCCTAGCCCCTGGGATTGCCTTGTTAGCCTAGCCCCTGGGATTGCCTTGTTAGCCTAGCCCCTGGGATTGCCTTGTTAGCCTAGCCCCTGGGATTGCCTTGTTAGCCTAGCCCCTGGGATTGCCTTGTTAGCCTAGCCCCTGGGATTGCCTTGTTAGCCTAGCCCCTGGGATTGCCTTGTTAGCCTAGCCCCTGGGATTGCCTTGTTAGCCTAGCTCCTGGGATTGCCTTGTTAGCCTAGCTCCTGGGATTGCCTTGTTAGCCTAGCCCCTGGGATTGCTTTGTTAGCCTTTTAAACTTACCATTTTCCTTCCATGACTGATCCTACTTTCAGCTTTGCACAAATTCCTTTTATATATATGTATCTATTGCACATGCTAAGTACGTATTTAAACTGATCAAGCACTTGCAGCACTTCTCCATTCACAGTTATCTCCCACACAGTTACTTGCCTTGCTGCTGCCATAACTTTACTTTTGTCCACATTTACCTTTTTATTAAGTTTGTTCAATCGCCTCACCATTTTTAATTGGTTGACATAAGTTAGAATATGGTACAGTACTCATATTAGGCTTATATGCATCCCTCTTTACATTATTCTGCCCTTCCTTCTACCCTGTGACCCCAGCAGTGTATAAGGTATATTGAATAACCAGGGTGATATCACACAACCCTGTTATACACCTTTATTTACTGTATATCAGAGTGGTCACTAATTACATCACCAACTTTCACACATACACTATATCCTATATAGAAATAGTTCACATTGAACAAATGTTGGTTGTCTCCTTACATATCATTCATCAAAAGTCCTTCTCTTAACTACCATCTGCTTTTTCAAAGTGTATAAATACCATGTGTGCACCTTATACTCTTCCTCACGTACTTTCTTTACAAGCTCCTTCAATGTAAATAATTGACCTACATGCACACATTTCCAGTTTCCACCTTGTTATTTTGCTGGCATAAGAAATTCATTATCATAGTTCATATTCTTGCATCTGTTTCTGCGTCCCATGCTTCATTGCTTTGCAACAATAAGTTTGACTATAGTATAGCATAATGTAAAACTTGCCCTATCTAGGTGTTCACATTACAGATGTATTCTCTTTTTAATAGATTAATGTACTACACATTGCCAGATTTGATTGTACAGTATTCTGTTGTCCCTTTCAGATGCTATTTAAAAGAAGACCATGCACAGCCTATATTTGGAGTACAGTTTAACCAGCACTTGCGTGATGGTCAGCCACTAGTGTTTGCAACTGCTGGTAATAATCGCGTCTCAGTATATCAATGTATGGATGATGGTTCCATCAAACTACTTCAGTGCTATAGTGATCCTGATGTGAGTTTTTTGGTTTTGCTTGTTAATTTTGTCTTTAATAACACTACACTCACATATTTGAAAATTGAAAAGTTAAGAGACATTACAATCTGTCCTAGACAAGGTTGGCATAATACCTATCCGCTTACACAACCAGTCTGAGGCTTTTAATTTAAAAATCTCAGGCATGTTTAAAAATGTTTATTTTGCTTTAATATGGGCCAATTTAGTTACAGTATTTTCATTTAAATTTAATTGAATATTTTTTTAAACCTGAGGGTTTTAGTAGAGTTAATATGGTCCAGGACTCCTGGACCATTATCAAGTGTACCTGATAATGGTCTGGAACTGACCAATAGGTCTTAAAATGTACTATTTATAGTGTGGATTTAGTGATTGTGTTCCAGCCACATTACCCTTGCTTCTCTACCAGGATGTAAGAAATATATTGTTTTGTTTTGTTTAAAGCTGTTATTACTTAAACATTTCCATTATGGTCAATATCTGAGGCTAATTTTACTTCTTTTGTAAGCAGCCAGAGGAGAACTTCTACACAGTGGCATGGAGTTATGACACAGAAACCGGTCGGCCAATTCTTGCAGCTGCTGGATCCCGGGGTGTTGTACGAATCTTTTCACTTGCCACAATGCAGTGTGTTAAGCATTTCATAGGTAAGTGCAATGCAAAAAGCCAAATTTATTACATTGTATAGAAGAAGTCATTACTTAATTCATCCAGCTTCTGCACTGTAAAATCAAAATCTTTAAAATATTCTACCCTGTAAAATTTTGAGTGATAGTGATGGAAACACTATGTTACTAATTTTGGTTTTATTATATTAAATCATGATATATATATATCATGCCCTACCCATGATATATATATAAATATATATCATGGGTAGGGTAGACATGCATTGCATGAAATGAACAGCTGCATGCTTTAAGGTGTATTAAAATTAACAGGAATGTGTTTGTCCAAGGAATATTTTTCCACAATGAGCTTCATTCCTGCAAGTTTACATTATAGTATAAACAAATTTTAAATATTATATTTATTATTATCAGTACCTGTACTGCAAATATGACTAAGATTGATTATCTTGATTGTCTGTAAACCTAATTCGTTCCATACAATTTTCTGGAAAGGTGCTGTATTTAGTTAGGTTTGTATATTGTTGCAGGTGCATACAGTATACAAGAATACACTCGCTCATTCTCTTCCTCCTTTGACCTAAATATCTTCAGATACACATGGGTAGTTACTAAGTGGACTAAGCTATTCAGTATTAGGTATTTTATTTAAAACTTTTTTTAATTAAAACTGCTCTTTAAGGTCATGGAAATGCTATTAATGAGCTGAAGTTTCACCCACGTGATCCAAACTTGTTGCTATCGGTTAGCAAAGATCATGCGCTCAGGATGTGGAACATTCGTACCGACATACTAGTGGCCACTTTTGGAGGAGTAGAAGCACACAGAGATGAAGTACTAAGCACTGTAAGTAATTAATTTTATTGTTGTAATGTACAATGCATTTTTGGGGGTTTACTACTATATTGGGAATATAATGTCTTCCCAAGACTCGTGTAATGAAAATAAGTCTTGTAAATAATAATGGCGAGGGCCTATATAGTAAAGGTAGAACTTGTTCATTTGAGATTCTCCCTGTACAGGCAATCTTTGCTGAGTAAGAGTTTGGGTGCTGCATATCCTGACTGGTGGAACTATGTTTCAACCCTAAAATTCAAATGTAAAGTTATCTATAAACATAAATGAATTTAGAGTATTAAAAGTTGAAATTACAACTTGAATCCTATATTCTATTTGTATTTATATGACACTGTATGCCATAAATTAAAAAAAAAATGAATAGCTTTCCTCATTCCCGCCGAGCCGGTCGGTCGAGCGGACAGCACGCTGGACTTCTGATCCTGTGGTCCTGGGTTCAATCCCAGGTGCCGGCGAGAAACAATAGGCAGAGTTTCTTTCACCCTATGCCCCTGTTACCTAGCAGTAAATAGGTACCTGGGTATTAGCCAGCTGTCACGGGCTGCTTCCTGGGGGTGGAGGCCTGGTCGAGGACCGGGCCGGGGGACACTAAAGCCCCGAAATCATCTCAAGATAACCTCAAGATAAGATTCCTCTAAAACATTTGTAATATGTAATATGCTGTACCTTGTTATAAGATAAAGATTGCACAGCAAATGGGGGTAATAATTATAATAAATTCATTATGTTGGGGGACAGGCAGCTAGTTTATCCATACAGTACATGTTAGGCTTATAGTGTTTTATTATATATTTTGTTTTGTTTTACAGGATATTGATGTTGAAGGAACATGCATTGTATCTTGTGGAATGGATCATTCATTGAAGATCTGGAAATTGACCACAGACATAATGCTTTCCACCATTAACCAGTCGTACACATTCAATCCTAGTCGGGCAGTTAGACCATTCCCAACTGTGCAACAGAATTTTCCCGACTTCTCGACCAGAGATATCCATAGGAATTATGTGGATTGTGTTCGCTGGCTTGGAAGATTTATCCTCTCAAAGGTATTTTTTGTAATTTAATTTGTATCGCTATTGAAGTAGCATCACTCACACCTCATTAATTAATCATACTTGAGATAAAGGAACAAATTATTTGGAAGTTATGAGCCCATTTATGCAAAATGCTGCTAGTTTTGGAGTGCAAATAAATAGAAATTTACTATATACACTAGTATCATTATAATTTATTGTCGTTTTCCACTTAACATGGGGTGGGGAGGCATCAGCCTGGAGAATGAAGGAAGGCTTTAGAAGTGTTTAGATATGAGGCTAATCCAAAGGCTTAAGGGCTAACAGACTGTGTTGAGGAGATGGATGGCTAGAGTAGAGAAACAAATATTGCCCCAATTACCCATTCCTTTCTCTCGTCCCATCCCAAATCCTTATCCATTCTGAGCCTTTCCTAATGCTATATAGTAGTAATGTCTTGGCGCTTGCCCCTAACAACTCCCTCCCTCCCTCCATTAATCTAAGAACGTTCGGAAGACGTGGCTAGGAACCCAATTCGATCCTGCAAGTACATCTAGGCGAGGACAAGTAAATGAGCTTTACTAAACCTAATTTACTAAAGTAAATGTAAACGATGCTTGCAGTTTTGAGTGATTTTTCTCTCGTAGGACAAAATTTAAATAGTTTATTCTTTCCTAATGTTCTTTTAATTTCCCTCCTGCAGAGTTGTGAAAATACCATTGTGTGTTGGAAGCCTGGTCTTCTCAATCAGACAGAACTGAAACACAATGATACTAATGTTACAATCATACACAAATTTGATTATAAGGAATGTGAAATCTGGTTCATGAGATTTTCCTTAGATTATTGGCAAAAGGTAAGATTGAATTGTTATTTTTTCTCTTAACTCTGCATGTGCCTCATCCAGTTATACAGGAATGATCACTTGAAAGCTTTCACAGGTGCATGGAATCTCTAAACCAACACACTTCTCATTAGATCCTCCCTTTTACCCCTTTTAATGGGCAGCCCTGGCACTGTGTTAGTTTGTGGGCTCTAGCACTATTATGCTTTAGGGTCTCCTATATTGCACTCTGCTGCAATTACTTGGAGGAACCTGTCTTCTACCAAATGACTCGTAAAACTTAAAACAAGTAAATGACTTGCCACTCTGCCACAAACTTACGTGATACTGCAGCTACAGACTGCACTAGCTAGATCCTTGACACAAATAATTAGTGTTAATATACACGGGTACTGCTTTTTATACACCTTTAGTTATAGTTCTATATCCATCAGTAGATATAGTTGGGGTGTGTATTTGTCAAAAGCGGCTGAATAATATTACGTTGGACGATAGTACAGTATCATAATGGGGACCATCACCAAAATGATTTCTGGGCCTGTTTGGAATTTGTGAACCCTTTAACAATTTATAAAATATATATTCCTACTTTTTACATTTTTTAAAACAAATATTTATCTTGTGAACTATTGAAAAATGTTTGATTTTGGGCCCAATACTGTAGCACCATAGAAAATCCATTAATGTATGTATGTGTGTATACCTGTCCCTATCCATATATACAAACAGATGGGCCACTGTATCAGTATCTGAAGGGCATCTTTTTTTTTAGTTTTATCTTATGAAAGTGTATTACTCTACCCAATTATATTTTTTGCATATATTTGTGTGTTTTAATTGTTGAAGAAATGAGAACCACATTCAATACCATGATTTATATTTTCTACTTGTAGAGAAACACAAAGATTCCTTGTGTTTTGAAACTTCCACTTCTGTTGCAGAAACATTTACTTTAGAGTACTATACTGTTTGCATTCATTGTTTAATCATTTGTCTATGAATTGAAGTTTTTTTTTTTTCTTTAATTTTTGTAATAAGATTTTGAAATGTTCCAGGTTTTGGCCGTTGGTAATCAACAAGGTCGCACGTATGTTTGGGATTTGGATATTTCTGATCCATCCCAGGCACGTTGTTCGACACTTACTCACCCAAAGTGTGTTGCACCCATCAGACAGACGGCCTTTTCACGTAATGGAAACATTTTGATAACGGTCTGCGATGATGCTACTATCTGGCGTTGGGATAGAGTAGCACAGCAATAGGTTATATGTACAAAAAAATATGTACGTATATGCAAAAATAAACCTTGTAGTACCTAATGATGCAAGAATTATTTCTGCAATTGTACTACATTATTTTTACTGTCAGTCTTAATGTATATAAGGAAGTGAATTATGTACAAATTATCTTTAATTATTACCTTTAAGTGGAAATGGTTACATTATTCTAATTTAAATAATTGTCATGTTTTTTATCTTAATACTGTATTGATAACTTCAATAATAAAATGATTATATAATCTTACATTATTAACTAACCTTATTTGATAATGCACATATAGATAAGGGTCTAATATGACTTGATTACATTCTCTACCTCTCCCATTAGCAGATTTTGTCTTTCAGATTGGTTTCCAGTGGCTCTTACTTAACAAATGTGACCGAAGAGTAAACTAATTACTTTTCATACATCCTCGGGTAAAAGTGCAGGAGACTTCTAACCTTTGCTTCCTGGCTTAAGCACTTTCCCTTTTCATAGTTATAATCGTCAAATCAACTTCCAGGTGCAGTAAATAGGCACCTGGAAGTTGATTTGACGATTACATGTTAGCGCAGGATGTATTTAGCCGACCTCGAAAGACTTGAATAAGCCAAAGTACAGGATTCATGTCTGGGTCAAGTGGAACTTATACATCTGTACGACCTAGATAGGCATAATTTTTCAAAGTATTTCCTAGACCAACAACATAACTTCCCCAGAATACAAGTCTTTTCCCAGGGTACGTATTTATTACGAGGTGAACACACAAAGTGAAAAAGAACGTATCCAACAGTGTGGAGAGACTCAACCATGGGTCCTGAGTGGGACCAAATTCAGAAATCTTTAATTTCCAACACAAACGACAGGTACTTTACATGGTATTCTTACCAAGTTGTATATAAATTTCAAGGTGCCAATAATATGCAAATATAGGATCCCATATTTATTCGTAAAAATACTGAATTTTCCTCTTAACGCAATAAAAAGTAAGGACTAAATGCCTTAAGTTTTTCCTTTCTAAATTTTCTTGATCACTGAATAGTTATTATAATTCAAATATTAGCAAAAACATTATCATCATACAGAGATGCATGTACTTAATAGAAATATAAACTAGGTAAAATACAGCCATATATGTGCAGCTAACTTGGTCTTGTGCTTACTTTTGATTACACACACTATGAAATGTTAAACAACACTAATCTCTTCAGTAAATTACAGCTATAAACTCACAAACTAACAATTCCTTAAAGCTAACATTTTAGTAATAAAATACTGGAATGAGTATTAGATATAAAAAAATAAAAAGTAAAAAATAAATTGATAATCCATCTTACTTGTGATAATCTTTTTGAGAGTAATGAATAGCAATACTACAATATATTTTTATGTTGTCAAAAAAGGTATTAAAGCTACTGTACTGCACTAATATTTATAAATGCCCTGAATATTAAGAACATCACATATGTAAGACAGTCGTTAATGCAATAGTACTTTAGATCATCATTATTTACTGTACTACAAACTGTATCCTCAAAAGCTGTTTCCCACTTCCGTGGGTGGCGAGGCACTTCCTTGGCTTCAAGTGGGAAGATGGGTGTCCAGCCCAATCTTCTGCCTCACGTGTAAAAAAAACTTAAGGACTATTTGGGGTGTATGAAACAAATGGCAAATTGCTCAATGATTTAGAAAAACACTAAGATTCGATTAACAGGCAAAAAATAGTCTCCAATAAAGTTACTCTCAGGACGCAGGTTCGAATCCTCGTCACGGCCCTTGTGGATTTGTTCATTTGATGCATCATGTTAGTGTGATCTCTTTGTGTAAAGTTACTCTCAGTTCTGTGTTGCTTTACAACTACTGGGGCAAAACTTTTCAAACTTTTTATGCTAATAAAGAAATTTGAGTTACAAGGCACAGTATTAGACAGTAGAGATGATAGCTCAAATTTAGAATGAAAACTCCACTTTAAATAATGCAGAAAATATGACAAGGTTGAAAAACATCAGACAAATTTAGAATTGATATACTGTATAAGCTGGATGAAACTTGGATAACAGACAATTATACACTCTATGAATAATATTTCACTTAGAATGACACAAATATTAAGGTAGTTATATTAGTCTTTGTTGTTAATGAATAAAGTGTCATAGTTACCCCTCCACACATCCACTGTAGCTTACATGTTATCCAACAATTTACAATGCACACTTCTGTACACTAAATTTGTAAAAAACAACAACTTCAACTTCCATAATTTCCTTCATTTACTTTTCCAAATATGAAAGTTTTAATCTTATTTTTGTACAGTATTTCTTGCAACTAAAACATCACATTGTCAACGAGTAACACTTTAACACCTGCCATAACAACATGTATTAGGTGGAGATAGCTGGGCATCGCTCTACACATCAATTTTCAATATTACGTGCTACAACTGTTTATTTTTTTTTGTGCTGGAGATTATCTTCCCCCATTAACCAATGGGGAGTTATGAGACTCCATTAACTGGTATGCCTTTCAATGCTTATTACTGCAACAACTAAACACAACAAATAACACAATTTTATACTTTTAAATGCAAATAATTTGGTCTTCCTTGGAATGATAAATTACTTCAAGGCATATACATAAAATATGTAAATACTATATGCATTTTCATTGTACAAGAAAAGCACAGAGGTAATGTACATTACTGTACTATTGTTTTATGTTGGGAAGTTTCAATCTGTGACAAGCTAAATGTTCACATTTATTTTTGTACCTTGTAACGCCGTTGTCATGTTGATACAAGACGTTATTCTTCTTTAACACTGCCAGGAGGTTCCACGTGTACCGTGTATAAAATTTTCTTGGATCTCACATAACTAAACTCGTTGTCGAAGGTCACCACATCTGTAGAAAATAAGATAAGAGTATAAATACTGACATGCATTTCATATACAAAATTGTATTATAATTCTACACAATATAATGGACAGAATATTGTGTAGTTACAAATATTAGAATATATGAAAATGCAGAACTGTAAAGCCTCTCTTTAAGGCAATACAAATCTGTACCATCTGCTTAGATTACAAATCTACTCTAGATTTGTAATAGATATAGTATGTCAGACATACTATACTTGTACTATACTGTAATTCCAAATGTAATCAGAATATCAATACTGTAGGGCGGTACCAATTTCTTCTCAATATTAAGTATTTGGGAAGGAAAAAATGTGTATTCAAACTAATCTGTGTACAGTATTTAAAAAGACTTGTTCACAGCAAGTTTGAATGCTATGTTACTAACTGCAGTTGACCAATACTGTATATCAAATTGTTTTAACATTCATAGTGTCAGCATACATAACAATACTGTACTTCAAAGTTGAATACAAAAAATAGTTATGAGGGGTTTGTTTACATGTAAAATACATATTTTAAGCTAACTTACATGTGCCAGGTTCTGTGCACACTAAATATCCTTCCTCTGTCACCAACTGTGAGTTAACTCTCTGCATTGGTACCAAAATCTCCTCTTCGCCTTTTTTCACTTTGCGGGACACTCCAAATCCCACATCAAAATCTTCGGTACGAAATTCCCACCTGAAATACAATAACAAAATAGGAAGTTTTTTTACATTCATTCATTTCATTTTACATTTTTTACATTTTTTTGAAGAATTCTTACATTCTTGTAAGTTGATACTGAATCAATTACTGTATGTATTGGCAAATGATAAAACTGAGTGATGAATGTAGTGAAATGCTCCTTTCTGGTGGGCCTCTCGGTAGCTCCCTGGAAGCAAGCCACCAAGGGGACCGTCCAAGAAAAAAAAAAAAATTTCCCTGATCTCAATCTTACTTGCACCACGATACACACGTCTTCAAAGTTTTAAACTGATATGCACAGGTGCTCATGCATTGTCTCGAGCATATGATATGCTCCAGACAACGCATGAACAAAACACATTTTGGACAAAAATCATTAAATGGAAAATGCAGTATAGTATATAGTATCCTTAGAGGGCATACCATATATTACTTTTATCATCATAAGCATGTGCACAAGTCTTCTTCATACATAGGAACAAGCATAGTCTGCCCACCTTGGCACCAAGAGAGACTGACCAGGCTTTATGACCATAAGCAATTAAGCCGTCTCATCCAAGCAAATTATTAATTGTAAGTCTTATAGGTAAAATGCATCAGTACAGTATATTAATAGGGGAATATCTGTTCATTTATCTGCATTCATTTGTCCAAGGTTGGAGGCCAGATGCTTGGGGCTACTAGCCTCGCCCAACTTTCATACACGAAGCATGTGTAGGCCAGTCCGGGGAAGGGACGGCGGCGGTTCCAGCACCATACTAAAAAATATCGGCATCTAACCTAACTCCCCCACAACGTGCAATTCTCACAAAGTCAAATCTGAAATATTGGTTGTATTGCCTACTGACTTATTCAACAGTTTAAGTGCTTTGTTATACTGTATAACTTTGAGAGGGGGAAATGTTTGGAGGGAGAAGGGGAGAGGGGAAAATGTATGGAGAGGGAAGGGGAGATTGGGGGAAAGAGGCATGAGGAGGAGAGTTGAGGCAGAAAGGTGGAAAGGAGGAAATCTTGGTGGAGAAAGTTGGAGAAGAGGGGGAGGGGGGAATAGTAAAACAGATTAGAGAGAGAGAAGGGGGATGAAGAGACCCCCCCCAGGTGTAGCTGGATACCCCCACTAGTATTATTACAATGCACAAAGGAATCATATTTATATGATGTATTAATGAGAAAATCAGTAGAAACCATGATGAGGATTAGAACCTGCACGCTGGAAACTCCCAAGCATACGCCCTAACCAACTCGGCCACAACATGCTCAAAAACAATGCAACCTGGGATTCAACCGAATCCTCTAGAGTTCCTGAAGCTTCCACTGAAGCCCAGTCAGGGTTTCATGCATTGCTCGCATACACTCTAGCTGTGGTATAGTAGAAACTATACCACAGCCAAGTGCTATATATAGTCTTACAAAATACAAAAATTACCATAACTTCACCTGGAGAGAAAGGTTTTATTTGTGTAAACTCTGCACTGCTTCACCCGCCAAATATTGTTTATCCCATTTGTTGGGAGCCTATACAACTTGATGTTTTGGAGTAAGCTAAACAGTTAGTAAAACAATTTTATGATACTAGTATTTTTGACTGGATGACATTGCAACATATTTTTGGAATAATTAAGAATAATGAAAAGATAATGTATTATCAGAGCACAGTGATAATGACAAATAAGAATGGTTAAAAAACAGTATTGATATTATAAAAAAAACTAACTTTAAGTGGGATCCAGGTTGCTTAACATCATATTTAAGTCTCTTTTTGCCACCTTTGTTCAGAGTGATAGTAGATAGATTATCATCATCTGTAATCTTGGATAGATTGCTCTTGCTGAGACTTAGGTAATATTTCTTGGGTACTTCTCCTCCTAAACATATCTGGAAAAAATACACATATTACAGCAATATTTGACTTCCAAGGAGACATTTAGTTCTCAACAATTATAGCATTACACTCACATACACTCACTCCAAGAATTTGTCTCCCTAGCCTAATATTTTAGTGTGTTGCTGTCAATTCTATAAAATCTACACACAATATTTCACCATGGTTTTGCAGTCTCTAAGTATATTATAGTGGAACCCCAAATGAATTAATCTGGTCAAAGAAAGTCCAGATGCAATGAATCAAATTTAACAAAAGAATATAAACTTCCTGCGAGTTTATTGTACTGGCCTACTTGGGATATAAAGGGCACGTCGGGTTTCTATGATTTCTATACCCATCAGGAACGAATAGCTTTCCAAATCATCTTGCCCTTACCATGGGTTGAGGGGTTAGGAGTAAGTGACCATATGCACTTCTCTTGTGCTTACCAGTTTCGTCCAAGCTTAAATCAAGGGTTCAGACCCATTCGTTTGTTACAATATGAATGCCTCATTCATATTGTAACAAACAGTATGGAACTAGCTTAGATATATAATCAAAGGAGCTTCAACAAATTTGTATGGCTTCTACAGTCTGCCTCACCCTTTGTTCCAGGGTCATCTTTCCTGGTGCCGCTAGCAAAGACTGACATCTTCTCCAAGGTGTTACTGGTCTTCCCTCGAGTTGACTTCTCCTGATTCAAACCCGTGCAGAGTTGTGCTTTGGGACTTGGTCGCTGAGATGAGGCCTGTTGAGCCTCATTTCATTGAGCAGAGTTAGGGCACTTTGATTCTAAGGAGGAAGGGAGGTGAAGCCCTGTACTCAGCTAGCCAGAAGTGCACTTTTGAGAGGCAAGCTGTATTCATTCCAATTTTATTGGGGCTCCTGAGAACTTTCTAGTGGTATAATATTGGGTTTCAGTTTGCCACATGCACCTCCATCATGTCCGAGTTTCACTGAAGTTCAGTTCGGGAATTAGACAAGTTGTCCATGCTGTAAGGTTGTGTGCCTCATTAAAATTATTAAAAGAAATAATATAACACTAGCTTCAGCGGAATATATCCTCAAGTCGATCAAACACCATCATAAAACAGTGCTTTATTTAAAAATGTCATGATCTTAAGAGTATCTTAGTGTTGGCTGGGTCACAAGGTAATTCACACCCAGTTCAGAGCATGATACTGCTCCTTGTAGGTTTCCACGGCATTTCACCTATTTTATTTTTTTTTTTTGCAACAAGACAGACAACCGTGCAGCATTTCTAACTTCTCTTGTTGGGTTCAGAGGGGCCTTTCCACCCATGGGTATGTGGGTGGTGTCAGTGCTGGGCTTCAGTTTTAGTTGTTTCAGCTGGTGGTTAAGATATTAGTATAGCTTCCTTTTGCCAGAGCCAATCAGGGGACCACTGGTGGGAGTGGTAGGTGGTGATTAAGTATCTAATTCATGCATTAGAGGGAAGCATGTGTATTTCAACACTTATCACTTGATTTAGTTCTTTAGTGAGTAATCTTTGAACCCCCAATTGCTGCCTCCACTTTTTGGAAGGGTCTAGACAATTCAAAAAGATCCTTGTTCCTGGTGAGAAGGGGGGGTCATACATGTGTCATGTGTCTAGTGCTGTGTATGTGTCCTTAGTGTACTAGTGCCATAAGCACAAAGAAGCTACCGAGATGCCATCCAGAAAGGTGCATTATGTTACTTTCAGTTCTTGTGGTAATGTACCATATTATTTCTAACTTCCATCTTAAAACAAGTCTAAGTAAAATTCTGAATGGTGTCATTGAGCTAAGAATGTGTTATGTATACCAAGTTATGCATAATGTTGGCTTTTATTGTAAATTCTTGTCAGTAGTTGCAAACAGATGTAGTTTGTGGATACACACTAGTAGCTGGTGGTATAAATTTATTTAATATTTACTCAGCTTTTAAGTAGGTAAATTAAAAACTACTGGACATACAATGGCTGTAGTTTAAAACAGCAACCACACCTGTGAGGGACATTTGGTGTTGCCGTCAGGGTCAGTTCTGGTTCCTCCCCAGTGTTGAGGCAGTTGGTCAGCGTCAATATCTTCTAATAGAGCCTCTTTCCACCCACTGTGTCCAAATATTCTTATTTTCTTGAGGGTAACCTCGTGAAGGAAGGGTTTAATCACTGCATATGCCAGAGTAAATACCTTTGGTGCTGCAAAAATTTTTTATTGTAGATTATAGCTATTGAATAGATGCCTAATTACTTTGAAATAACTTCAGCTCTACATAAAAACAGAAAATGTCAGACACATATTTATATTAATATAAAGCAATTAAAATTGTTATGAAATTCATTTTATAATTTCAGTTCAAGAAAAGCAGAAGTTTCTCACCATTAATAACATAGGCACACTTGAGAAACTCAGGGTAGTTAGCCTCGTACAACTGCACCAGTTCAAGGACCACATCCATAGCTGCAAGTAACAATATGCATCAAAAACTGTTAACAAAATGCAAAATATAACACACTACATTTATTCACAACAATGAAATTTATAAAACACTGCTATTTAAAATACAAAAGAAAAAAAGTACTGCATGTACATTACCAGTAGTTGAAACTAAGTGACTACCAAGTTATTTTAAACTGTGATTATAAAGTATTTTATTTTGATTAAAAAATCTTCCCGATTATCCAGTTAGATCTTAACTTACTTACCAGGTTTCCAAGTCACGTGCTTCAATGAGAAGTTTTCTAGATCAAATATACAGCATTGCTGAGTAATTGGGTAACCGAGAATTTGAGTTTGCTTAGCCATGTCCTGCCGTGACAATTCAAGTACACGAATCGTGTAGCGTATGTAATCAGCTTTCCGTACACTTGATAAAAGTCCTCTCATGTCACATCCTCCATAAGGAATAATCCATACTGTTAATAAGAAATAACAACAGATCAAATACTGTTGAATAGATGTATTCAACATCTACTTTTCATCTACAAATAATATTTCTGAAGATTTTTAGTTAATCATTTCTTTATATATTTTTCATATTTCACTCTTCCATATTTAAATTATAATTAAAGCAAAATTTAAGCTTCTTAAATGTTAAATGTCATTTTATCTAATGACGCAAATACTTAAGGGGTTCATCAGTTCACAAGTACAGAAGCTGAAAGTCTGCCCTAACATATAATGTTCATCTACCGGACTCTTCTCTTATGGTTATTAATGTGGGCAATTTAACCTTCATACTGACAAGACGTGCAGCATAACTACATGTAGCATGTGTGCACCTAACTTACCTGGTAGTCCTGTCTTGTCATGTCCTGCCATGCCAACTGGGTAGTAGTGGTGAAGCACCTCGGGCACATCCCAGTCAAGAACCGAGTCCGCACCCCATTCTTTGCGCCACTGCATGCTCTTTACGTGGAATATGTTTTACAAGATTTATGTAGTTTTCATGATTCCATACAAAATATCTTTGAATATTGTACAATAAATAACACAGTATATATATATTGCATTGCAACATATGTACTTAGTTTCCACTAAATGAAAAATATATTTTTACCTCGATTGATTGGTTAAATCTACAGTATACCTAACAAGACGAGCAGTTTAACTTGTCAACATGGACATGTTAGCTTGCCTATGTTGACAAGGTAACATGTCAACAGGCCTACAAGAATGAGGGCAAGTAAATACTGTACTATGACAAGGCAATAAATGTTATTAAATAACAATTGTACACTCACCCTCCTGAGCATGTGTTCAGCCTTGTCAATATTATAGTTGCGAGCTGTGAAGATAACACCAGTTTTAATATTTATTGTCCTATACTGTAAATGAATATATAGTATAGAAAATATCTTTAAAAGCTTTCAAAGCCTCTTCATAAAGCACTTGATAAGCAGAGTTTAAGATAATAAGTACAAGATAATATGCAATAATACAAATATGGAAAATATGAATTAGTGTTAACTCATTACATAAACCTCAAGTTACTTCAGTGCTTTTGAGATATATAGATATAGAAAGAAATAGTAATTGGGGAAGAATCTAATTCATATACTGTACAGTAGAATAAATCCTTAACTGCAGCCTCTGTTTAACTCAACAGTAAAATGGGAACTTGGTTGTAAAAACGATTCTTTGTGGAGGTCGTATTCCAGGGACCATAGGATTAAGGACCATAGGATTAAGGACCATAGGATTAAGGACCTGCCCGAAACGCTACGCGTACTAGTGGCTGTACAAGAATGTAACAACTCTTGTATATATCTCAAAAAAAAAAAAAAAAATGTTATGGGAGTTCTGCCCGAAACGCTGCGCGTACTAGTAGCTTTACGAGATTATAAATACTATGCTATGTACCTATTCTCTCTAACCCAATGTACCTTCTTGTATATAAATCAATCAATCAATCAATAAATCCTTGTGTGTGATGTACTCACCGACCAGCCACTGGAGGAGGTTGTGGTCGTGTTGTTGGTCCGGCGCCACAACACCAGCCACGCGCTCACGCAACTGTAAACAAACACATAAACATTACACTCATGTGTAACTATATTTATCTCAACACATAAACCTCAAGTCACTTCACTACTTTTGTGATACATAGATATAGGATATATTTAAATATTTAACTTTAGGTAAACGTGTGTTGCGTCATCAGGTATACTCTTACTGGGTTATATTAAGTGGGAAACTAAAGATATGCGAGTGTTTGGGTTGTTAGTTGACTTCCCCTATTATGTACCCAATACCCACCTTGTTAGCGGTAGTGGGGAACGGTTAGATACACTTAATTAATGGACACAGCCTATACTTATTGCTAAGCACTGGGCAAGGGAAGTGGAGAGAGATAGGTGGATATATCAATGGCCAGAGGATGGATATTGCCCGAAACACTATGCGTACTAGTGGCTTTAGGTATTTTATATACTAGCTCTTATCTATAAGTCCAACATTATGTTTATAAAACAACTATGTATGTACTTTCCTGAATAAAATTGACTTTACTTACTTTACCTGACGGGCCAATAACACTAGTGGCTTCGTCGAGGACAGGAAGCCGCTGGCTTGTCAAAGGTTCCCCCATTTCCCTTGATTTTTTCCAGTTGGATTTTAGAACTGTTGTGTTGTGTTTGTGTTTTACTGTGTGTTTCACGCACCTCTCTACTGTGTTGACAATGTCAGTGACTTATTGTACCAGTAATTTGTTTTGTATTTCTGGTATTTTATGCCAGGCAGCAACAGTATAGGTCAAGTAATAATTGTAATTAAGAAGCAATAAGATGCTTATCTTAACATACTAAGAAGGTTAGGTGAGGTCGGTGTTTTCTATGAAACTTTTCAAGGTAAACTAAAATATTCACAATCAATTAGTATGTCACATATGCACTTATTAAATAAGCCAATATTGACTGAAAGCAATTGCGAGAACGGGTTGCCAGGCCGTGCTTACTTAGCTCGGGTGTGTGACTGACTTTCTGATGTTTATGTGTGTATTTGTTATGAGTTCTGCTACTTACGTTCATGTACTTAATTATTGTCAAATCTCAGGAGATTTGATGTTGCTAAATGTATGTTGGTGTTCCTGTTGGGGTTCTATGTGATCTATGTATCTGAAATCATGTATGTCTATTAATTTATTTGTAAATATTATTCTTTTATAAAAAAATAAGATGTGCAGTGCCCCACTGATGTCCAATCTTGTATAGTCGTTGTATCTATCGATTATGTTTAGTGTTATTTGTCACAACACTAAAATAAAGGACAGTGTTGTAGAATGGTGACAATGAAGTGAAGGGCGTTAGTGTGAAGTTGATGTGCGGAAGTCAGCAGTCACCCCACGTACCCACCTCGCAAGGCCAGTCAGTACAATGACCTCTCCAGTCATATCTGGCAGACACTATACCAGTCAAACACTGATGTATAAGTCATTGTGACCACCTTGGTTCAAAATGACTTAACTCATGTTTAAGAAACGTGTGAGACATATGCCTTCAATGGCCTGGAAGCCATGAGTGAATACGCACAGCGTTTCCGGCAAAATTTGGTTGGCCGAAACCAAATATTGGTCAGTTGGGTATCGACCAACAGACCAGCTGAGTTCTCTTTATGTTATGTCCAATTAAAAAGGAACTACTTCAATATTGTCTATCAGACCGAGATAACCACTTGAAGGTCAGAGAATTACACAATGAACCCAGACGCCAATAACAGCCTCTTATAAGGTAATTAAATCTTTAAGCTGACTGACTAGATAACGAACCTTGTCAAGTGGCAAGATTACTGTAGAGTGCACATTCTTCCACTCTAAGCCTGCTACTTTCCCACTGTACCATGCTAAGCCTGCTACTTTCCCACTGTACCATGCTAAGCCTGCTACTCTCCCACTGTACCATGCTAAGCCTGCTACTTTCCCAGTGTACCATGCTAAGCCTGCTACTCTCCCACTGTACCATGCTAAGCCTGCTACTTTCCCACTGTACCATGCTAAGCCTGCTACTTTCCCACTGTACCATGCTAAGCCTGCTACTTTCCCACTGTACCATGCTAAGCCTGCTACTCTCCCACTGTACCATGCTAAGCCTGCTACTCTCCGTGTACCACACTAAGCCTGCTACTCTCCCACAGTAAGCCAGGTTAGTGGCTTAGCGTGATAACCTCGTTAACCAGAAGTTCATCAGCAGGTTGTTAGCGGTGAACTACGAGCTCCTGGTACTGAGTACTGCGCTACTTATATATTTTTGTGTTCAAATATTTGAACAACTTCATACATTCATCAATAAGATGAGGGTGGGGACGGGTGGGAGTTTTTATTATTATTATTATTATTATTATTATTATTATTATTATTATTATTATTATTATTATTATTATTTTCTACCACAAACGTGGCCACACATTTACAATGTTAACCAGTATATATACATTTTCTTCTGTCTTCCATGGACAGGGTTAGAGATGTGTTAAACATATAGTTCAAGGGTTTATTGAACAATCAACCATAGAAGGTGATTCGGTGCTTTTAAAATGCTAGGCTAACCTACATACGTAAATACATAGATACACAGATTTACGTATGCCCTACATAGAGAGTTCCATGTGTCTTTTACATAGTGTCATTAATGTGCATTTACAAAGGTGAAATGTAATTCTGATCAGCTGACAGTGTGATCTAACCTCAGCCTTCTCCCCCTATCTCCCTCCTTTATCTCTCTGGGCCCTAATCTCCACCACCCCCCCCCTATTACCTGTACACACTCTCCTCCCTCCCCCCCCCCTGTACCTACCCCATCGCAACTCTTCACCCTAACATGACTGCTCCATGGTGGTAGTGTCCTAGAACAGCCTCCAGCAATGCTCTACTTCACAATATTGTCACCCCGTATTGTAACAAGCCATCGTCATTCAGGCCGTTCCCTTGAGTTACCACCACATAACAAATGGAACCTTTTTAGCCTACCTACACAAAAACCTCGGGTTGACGCATTGCTGTAGACAAATGTTTACACACACACAAGAATATGTTTATGATATACTGTTCCTGCTCATCTCACTGGCCACAAAACATACGGTAGTTGGAGGAGAAATCAGAACACGCGGCTCAAATTATTACGTTCTGATTGGCCAGGAAGGAGTCAACTTGTGGCGAGTGGAAAGTATAGGAGGAGACATTGTGTCTATCGTTCACCTGGGTGTGGAGACATTGTGTCTACCGTTCACCTGGGTGTGGAGACATTGTGTCTATCGTTCACCTGGGTGTGGAGACATTGTGTCTACCGTTCACCTGGGTGTGGAGACATTGTGTCTACCGTTCACCTGGGTGTGGAGACATTGTGTCTACCGTTCACCGTGGTGAGGAGACATTGTGTCTACCGTTCACCGTGGTGAGGAGACATTGTGTCTACCGTTCACCGTGGTGTGGGGACATTCTATGGCTTGCGCGTTCATGCAGCTTTCTCATATTATATATATATATATATATATATATATATATATATATATATATATATATATATATATATATATATATATATATATATATATATATTTTATGACGTGTGTGCATCATACTGTAGGAATAGCAACATCATTGTTGTATGTGTTATTATTAACCAAAATGAAACATTGTTGGTGTATGTGATAGTATGAAGGTTATCACCATGAGTGCGTGTAGCAGGTGTGGAGTGCTCGAGTGCTCTGGGCTACTACATCACATCACTTGCGGTACAAGTGGCACCAAGATGGTCTGATACCTGGTTGATGGGGTTGTGGGAGTTCTTCTACTGCCCAAGCCCGGCCCGAGGCCAGGTTTGACTTGTGACAGTTTGGTCCACCAGGCTGTTTGCTTGGAGCGGCCCAGCGCAGGCCCACATACCCACCACGGCCCGGTTGGTCCGGCACTCCTTGGAGGAAACAATCTAGTTTCCTCTTGAAGATGTCCACGGTTGTTCCTCTCTACATCTGCTGCCTAACTTGCTCCACAGTTCGTAAGTCCAAGTTCTTCCTCATCAGTAGTATATTGTGGAAAATGGTAATTGTAATAAGAGTCCCTGGCGCACTCCTCTACACCCTCCTCACAGCTCTTCAGCAAGCGATTACGGAAGTATGTGTTTCACAAGAGCGAAATGAATACCCGAGCACCACTGTACCCGCCTGTGTACCTGTGCCCCTCTCACACTAGCATCATCTCTCATCAGTAATTACACCAAGGGAGAGGATATTTCTCACAAGTAAACTGGGATTAAAGACCAATCGGGTATGTGTCGACGGCGCTGGCTACTGCGCTACGGATGAGCCCAGTATCTGTACGGTATCTGTCAACACAGGGAGAGTAGAGGAGGACATAACCCACCCAAGATGAGTGGCGCTGCCCAATAAACTCGCCCCTCGGGGAAAAATTTAAACTTAAAATAACCCAGCCTCCGTACCCTGGGCATGTAAACACAGACCTCATCCTTCTAGTGTCGCGGCGTGAAGCAAGAGGGCGCTGGGGGAGTGGGGGCGTGTGTGTGGCCGCCACCAATGTCAGGGTCACCACGAGTTGGCTCCACAAGCTCCACCTGGCCACTAGTATGTGTTCACTTTAGTTCATTTATTATGCAACCCCATACCCATCCTGTGAGTGATAGTGGACCCCATACCCATCCTGTGAGTGGTAGTGGACCTCATACTCATCCTGTGAGTGGTAGTGGACCTCATACTCATCCTGTGAGTGGTAGTGGACCTCATACTCATCCTGTGAGTGGTAGTGGACCTCATACTCATCCTGTGAGTGGTAGTGGACCCCATATTCATCCTGTGAGTGGTAGTGGACCCCATACCCATCCTGTCACCGGTAGTACACCCCCATACCCATCCTGTGAGTGGTAGTGGACCCCATACCCTGTCTCCCACCTGAGGGCCTCAGAGCCCCGCCCCCCACAGCAATATAAGCTTACTCATGAGCGTGTATGCACGAAGGGCGAAATAATCGTGGCAGCCCGCTGGCTTTCTCCTGTAAGAAAGCTGCCATT